TCTAAGAGCAGAGAGTTGAAATAGGAGTGGAATTTTTAAGTATCTGTATTCTTGGTTTTTTAGCTGTATCACAATGCTCATGGTGGTCTACCAATGATGCTGCAGTTAGCCGCTCTGAAATTTTATGGTGTTCAGGGAAGGACAACGCTAACCCTGCTCAGTCCTGGCAGGGCCAGAGAAGTCAACCTTGTGCAAGGGTGCATCAGCTGGGTGGGTGTCCAGTGACCTGGTACAAGTGCAGTGTAGTAGTGATGCAAAAATGGGTGGATAATTGAAGCTGTTCTCCATTGCTGGCTCAGCAGTTGATACTGAAGTTAGGCTCGGAGCAATCAGGTCTCATTGTGCTGGGGCTGTGCAGATGCACGGTCAGTACCGATACTTGTGTGAAAGACCTTCTGTTCTCGTGGCAGATGTGCTGGTCATTGCCATGGAGGAGACGAGCAGACAAATATTTGGGGTTTTTATACGACCAAGTCTTAAGAACAGAAACAGGGTTAGCATTGTTTTGTGATCTACTTCACATCATTTTTGTATCTTTCTGTTGTTATATTATTGCAAGTAACATGATGAATTGGAAGAAAAATTATGATGCATCATGTTAGGATGGAGAGCTTTTTTAGTCATAGAAACCATTAGTAGATACTGAATAATATGTGTTGAAGATACATGATTCTATGTAATTCAGCAGATCTAGGTACAAAGGGTCTATCTGTGAGTTCTAGAGGAGCTAGTGGGGGAGATCTCTAGTTCACAGGTTTTCATTTTTAATATGTTGCTTAAAACTGAAAGAAAGCTGGTGTTCTGCCCAGATTCAGAGTAGACAAGCAGATTGAGCAGGGTAAATATAGCCTGATATAAATCACAGTGAACATATGGAAAAAGCTGATTGGGGACTCATCTGCTAGGGAATTAAAGGCCTTGAGTAAAACTGATTCTATCCAACATAGTTTTCTGGAAAGTAGGGCTTGTAAAACAAATGATTGCCAAAAACTTGATTTTAATGTTTTAGTATCTGAAAAAATTACAAGTTTAATAAGATGATGGTGTCAGTGTTAAAGACTTTGAAAAGCATTTGACTTATTGCCGTGTGAAACTGGTTAATAAACACATGAATTGAACTTGTAATGAAACAGACCAGACTTTAATGAATAACAAACCACCTAGCAAGTCTTAGTATAGGATTTTCTATGAAGGAGTTTCAAGGACTAAGTGGCTTTCCCGTGGTGGAAAATAGAGGATGAGAGTAGAGGGACTGGAAATTGTGTCTAATTGGTGGGAAGGAAGGAGACCACTGTGAATGCTGAAGTACAGCCTCTGAGCCAAAAGAGTAATGCTGAGTGTAGGGGCAGTCCAAGAGCGTGACCAGGCTGATGATTTTTCACCGTATATAGAACTGCTAAGAATGTTTAGAGTGTGGCACATGGCTTGGCCATCTATCTGCCTTTGTCAAAAAAGCTTGAAAATTACTAAGTACATATAACCATCTAACATTAGTAAGTATCTGCAGCATCTAAATTAGTGATGAGGAGATCTTGAATTCAGGACTTCTGTCTGCATAGTTTATTTTTCATCCAGTCCTCTTTACATTAATGTTTCTACAGCACAAACAAAGCAACGGGCTTAAGCTTCATAAACAGGAGGTCACAGAAGATGATTTAGTATTCCCTGATGACTTTAAAGGCCAAAACTATCATAGACTGTGACAAACGAATAATTTGGAGGAAAGCAGTAGGGTGTTTTCAAGAAAAGTTCTAGAAGATGAGAAATAGTTCTTATTTGGTATACTTTTGGAAAATTTAAAAATTATTTCTTTTTATGGACACCTGTGTTCAGATACCCCAGAGCTATATGTCCTGTGGTAAGTAGATTAAGACTGGATAATTTACATCTAATTGGTAAGAGAATGATGGGGAAAGCAAGCCAATGGAAGTTGAATTCACTACACTTTTCAGGAGTGAATAGTACTCAGGTTTAACACACGTGTGGGTATTTAGTCTATTATGTCATGCTACCTCCATAAAAAATAGCTATAATAAAGGCAATACTCAAATACCATTCTTGTTTCTATTAGTACTGTGTCCATGACACTTAGGTACTGTAACACTATGTTGTTATCTGTTTCTATTTGAAAGATTTTAAATTAAATAATCATTTCCAATCAGAGTTTTTTATGTTACCTATTACTGCAAATGCCAGATAAGTTAAAAAAAGAAGTGTGAAATTCAAAACCAGTTGTTCAAAAATACTTTAAATCATTTTATTGATACTTGCATAGTTAGCATGGTTGTATAAAACACATAAGCCCTGTAAAGATCTTTCATTAAGTGATAAAGGTATTGCAGTTGTCCTCAAAAGAAAGTGTTTTGTTCTTTTTATTTATTAACCATCAACACTCTTTTCTATGTACAAGTCACTAAATACATTTACCTCATTTGAATTTGCTTTTCATGATCTGTGGATATGTTTCTGTGGCTTCTTTGAAACAGATTTCCTTGAAAACTCTTTATTTTTTCCTATATTCTGATTGTATCTGTCTTTCACTATGATAAAAAATACAGGTATTAGACAAATTAAGCAGAGGGAGTGTTTTGCTCAATACTAATTTTCCTCTAATTTTCAGTGTCTACCTTGTTCCCCATTAATTCAATCATGTCTATATGGAAGAGAATGCTTTTTTCCTAATGTGTATGAAATATTCTAGTTTTTCTGTCTTGCAATTTTATAACCCTTTCACATTTCTTACATTGACCTTGGTTTTCATTCACATTTATAGAGGCCTTTTTGTCTTAAAATAATGTAATAGTAGAAATGCATAATCAGTTGATACATAAAATCTCTGTGAAACAATATTACATTTAGAAAATACTATCTTTAACTTTGCACTAGGTTGAATGTCAGTAAATACACTCCCTTACACATCTTACATCCTAATAAAGAAATATTGCAGCACCACTTTAAAGTCAATTAAAGATCCCATGTGATTATGTTGAAGACAACTAGAGGAAAAACATGTTCCCTCTGTCAACTGGAGCCTTAACTGATTCAACTTTGAAATGTCCATTGAGAATGTGTCTGTCTGTATTAATATCCCAATTAGGAATTAGTGTTATTCAGTACTAGTATAGCACAGTAAAATATACTGAGGGGTTGCGGGTGTGTGTGCGTGGGTGTGGATCTACAATCCCAGATACTGTTCAACTGTTAACACTCTCTGTGGCAGATATTGATCCAATCCTAATTCTTCCAGACAGTGCCTGAACATGATTAAGGGAGTAGCATAGGGACTTCCTTCAGAGGGGAAGGATGTAACCTGTGATGTACCAGTGTCTTCTCTCAAGCAGCAATCAATAGGACAAGAGGAAACAGCCTGAAGTTGCTCCAGGGAAGGTTTAGATTGAATATTAGGAAAAATTTCTTCACTGAAACAATTATCAAGCAGTGGAACAATCAGGGAAGTGGTTGAGTCTTCATCCCTGGAGGTATTTAAAAGACAAATGGATGTGGCACTTAGAAATATAGTTGGACTTGGCAGTGCTGGGTTGGACTTGATGATCTTAAACATCTTTTCCAACCTGAACAATTCTGTGATTCATTTGCTCTTGAGCTGTTAAAATTAAGGAGAAGATCCTTGTCCCATTTTTATAGTATGAAAAGCAATCTTGGATTCTGCCTCCCAAATGATCCCTTCTGTATATTTGCTGGGGTTTTTTTGTGTTTGCAAAGTATCTGGTTTTTTTGTTTATGTCCAAATGGTACCAACGAAGAGACCACTGGAACCAAACTGTGTTTTGTGCTTCTCCGTATAGTTTATCTCAGGCTCAGTGGTGCTTTCATTCTTCCAGTTGTGGCTTTCTGTAGCTCATTTGTGAAAAGTAGTACTTTTTTATTTTTAAGTGAAAAAAGTTGAATGTATCTCACTTGATCCTTATCTTTTGTCATACATAAAACTCCTCCCTTTTGAAATCTGATATTATCCTTTGTGATAAAATATTACTATACTTTGCTTGTACATTCTTACTTACTTTGACTCCTGTTTACTACACTATAGCAAATGGGAGTCAAAGTTGTTAGTCACAATCAGCATCTCAGCAAGAAGCACAGGAGACATAACAAGTGACATTTTGTTAAGTACCTAAGAAGTATGTAGATATAGAAAATCTTATTTTTACAAATTGATGAGTAGACTCCTGAACCAGCTGTCAAAATACATATGTTTTCCTATGAAAAGGGTAGGACAAAATGTCTGAGTTACAAGAGATCTTAAATAAATCATCTGGAGGAAAAGGCAATCTGCTGTGTAAATATTTCAAGTTTTGAAATTGAAGCCTTTACACTGATCGCTTAGAGGCCTGGCCTTATTTTGTAGCAGATAATATTATGTCAAAACAATGTTTAGTTCTACTTAGCAGCTGTTGTATTCATAAGAAATTAGGCCAGATTAAACCTTGAATATATTCAACAAGAACACCCAGTTGTGCTGACAAACCTAAAACCGTTTTCAGTAATATGTTCTATCATAAACCATTTGGGCACATTGCTTCTCTGAGGAATGGTAAAGTCAGTGTGCAGGCTCAGCTTTATAATTCCCACTGCCTGCTGAATTCCCATAATATATCCAAATGTCCAAGCAGTAGATTCAATAGTTATCCTACTAGAACACTGCAGTAGCACAGGTATACAATGGACATTTTCTCAAGGGTATTACTTTCCCAATCATTTTAATTGCACATGCCCGATTCACCACTGCTTGTGCATTCATTTGTACTTGTTCAAAGGAAATGCAATTGAATTTTAAAATACTCTCAAATCACTGCAATACTCATTTTACATGGTAAAAGAACAAGACAATAAGTTGGATAATCAAGTTTTCTGGGTTTTGTAAGGAGAACTGAAATGTTGCTTGGAGAAGAAACAACAAAAGTATTATTAAGATGTATGTGATCATTCAACTCTCCATTGCATCTCCATATTGTTATTCTTGTTTGTTTGTTTGCTTACAGGTTTCTTGTCTATATTGACATAACTATTGCAAGCTACCTAGTCTGATGAAGTTGAACTTCATTCTTCAAGTGTGATTTACTCAGTACAGCCTAAAATCATGATGAAAAAGAAGAGCATACCTGCAAGTAAACCTCTCTTGATCCTCTTTCTGTGCCAAATTATTTCTGCATTGGACGTACCTCTTGACTGTAAGTATTAATCTGCTAAATAAGTGTAGAATAATGGCAATTTAGTTAAATAATTTCTGTAGAAAGCTGAAGATTACTCCAACATGGAGCTAAACATGGAGATAAATATTTCAATCAGGGCATTATGATTATGAATATTTACACTTATTTACTGAAGATTTTCAAAACCTGTGCAATAAAATGAGTTACATTGTTCACTTGAGAAGGTTTAACACAGGATTCTCACAGGATTCTACTTACACTTCAGTGTGCCTTTGTTGAACACATTATTTGACCAAAATTAAGAAGGGCAGAGAAGCCCAGCTAAATGCTAATTATTTGTGAAGTTAGGATCATACTGATAATTTGCTGAAAACCCCATGACAATTCTTAGTTGCTGTCATCAATCACCCTTACCTCCAGAGAAGAAGTTTGCAGGAGCTGCTACATAAACTAGTAAAAGATTCAAATACCTAAAATTCAGATACTCAAAGTATCTTATTTTTTGATCCCAAAGGGTAAATTAGGCTCTTAGATTTCCTAAGCAGTGCCTGAAAACGGTTAAATACTTAACTTTAAGTTGAAAATATGTGCTGAGCAGGGAACTCCAGCATTGATTTGTGAGGAAACATCTGAAAGAGAGGAAATCCCAAGATCTGAAGTTCTTGTCTAATATAAGACTGTGTTAGTGGGGAACCTTGAAGGTAGGACTCCATGCTGAAAAGGAAGCAATCGTAGATGCTGCATTTTATAGTCCTAATAGCTGATTTTATTAAATTATTCATGCTTTAGGTTGCTATTTTCTTTCTAAAATAAACATGATCACATTTTCAGGATTCAGTGAACCATGTTGCACCTCATAGTGACTATTCATTTATTAAACTAATTACCAGGGAAGAGAACATTAGGGCTGATGTTAAATTGATGGATTAATACATCAGTAAATTTGCCTATGATTCTAATGTGCATGACTTTCTTTACCCCCATGTTTGTGATACCTTCCTGCCTTCCACAATGCATGTTTTTCTTTAATAATTTCAGTGACATAAATTGCAACTGCTTTGGTGAGCTCCCCCCCCATGCATTTTACAAGCCTATCAAACCAGTGACCTGTATTTCTGTAACAAGATCAATATATTTGAATCACATCAAACTTGTGCTCTAAATGTCTTTAGAGCGATAAGCTTTGGTTTAAAGAGGGATTCAAAAGTTTTTTGAATTAATGTCTTCTTTTCTAAACTTAAATTTTCTACATAAATATCTTTACAGTCTATAAATAGTGTTATAAACCCCCATCTTGTAGTTTAGGAACTAATATAAATTGTGCACCACTCTAATATCTTTATCTATAGAGGAAGACTTCAGGTTAAATTTACCAGAAATGCATCAAGAGACAAAAATGAGTAGCTCTTTTAGATGTATCATTTTAGTTCTCTACTGAGAATTTAATTCCCTATTCCTTAATGCTTAATAACTTTGTTAGGTCTGATAAAGTCACATGCTTGAATTTTTATCCAAAACTAATACTAACAGAAATTGCATCTGTAATGATGTTATTGCTTTCATAAATAATGATGAGAATGGGCTCTGGGAGAGCACCTCAAGGGAAGGACATATATTTTCTGTAGGTCTTCCATAAATATGCACCGCAGAGACCTGGTGGTGAGAACACAGTTGATTAGTTGAACCTTTAAGTTTCATCCAGATTAGCAGTTCCTATTCTTTGCAGTTCATTAGTTCCTAGTCAGTGTCTCCTCAAAGCAGGTAAGGGATGACTGAAAATGTAGGTGACCCAAAGGCATTTGACCTGCTGTAATACATTATTGATAATGAGACATGTATGCAAAACATTTGAAGTAAGCAATAAAGATGTGACAGCTAAGATGATTTTTTTTGTTTTAGTTATTTTTCAAATAACTAAACTTGCAAAAGGGGTTGCAAGTCTGTTGAGTACAATTAGGTGCTTCTGTATTTACAAGAGTAATTTTAACCTGAAGCATTCTCTTTGTTCTTCTTTGTGATCATATGAGTGGATTGATTTTGACTGCAACATGAGGGCAGTGCACTCCACTAATTTTGAATTGCTGTCTCCTCAATATTAGTGTTTTGTGTCCTTGCAAGACCAAAATCACATATCATGGTTGCCCTTAAAAAGTCAACATTTCAGAAAAGTTTCTCATACCATGAGTTTTGAGATAAATGTAGTAATAACTGACACAATGAAAACTGTAGCTGGGATTTAAGGCTTCCCTGCGTGGCTTACAGTGCTAAATGTTTTAAATGTTTACTTTTTAATGGTGACCAATGTACTTGTCAGACATACTTATCTTCCCTCTCAAAATTGCTAATTTTCTTTTCACTAACAAATGTTTCTCTTTAATCTCCATTTGTCCATTCAACTGCTGATTCTGATGTGGAAATAAAAGCAAAACTTCTAGAAGAATGTAAGTTCCTCTTCACTAAAACTAGGCTGTGTGCCGCTGAAAAGTAATACTGATTGGTTTGCTGTATCTAGATGTTTTGTGCATGCAGTGTTCAGAAAACAAACTACTGTACATAAATCAACATTCTAAAATTCTGAAAAAATTAATTGTGTGGTTTTTGATGGTGTGCTATCTGAACATTAAAATATTTACTCAGTATCAGCATGTGCAGTGTTTTATGACTACTTTCAGGAGTAAATGTACTTGATAAAAAATAAATTCATTGGAATATATGTACTTTTGTACTATTATACATATCTGAGTTGGAGATACTTTTATATCCATAGTGGATACAGTTATTTAAGTAGACCTCATATTTTTATGGCTTCTCCTAACTAAGCTCTAGTGTCATGGTTAATTCAGTCAGTTTTAAGCACAGTGCATAGCACAGGAATAGAGATTTCAGGTCTTTGATGTGCATCAGATGGAATATCCTGTGGGTTGGGCAGCGTTCATGTCATGTCCCTTTTCAGAGTGTATTTGCTTTTCCCAAGTAAGCATCTGGCACGTATTGACCCTGAAATATGCCCCTGAGAGGGAAAGGGACTGTCTTCAAAGTGCCTCTAAAGAAATACACACAAAGGCATGATCATGTAAAAATACTTCCTCCCTCATTACTCCTGCAATGAGAAGCAAAACCCAGTTCTGTATGGCCTGTTCTGTTCTGCTTAGCTGCTGTATTTTGTTAATGATTTCATGATCTGATGTTTTTTCCGTGGCTGTTTCTTGTCAGTAGGGTTTTACAGAAGGCTACCTCTGTCTGTGCAACAGACTACTTTATATATTATGGTAGGGAAGACTTAAAGTAAAAATCCCAGTTTTACAATTTTAACTGGCTAGAAAGAGGCATGAGAATACAGCTAACTCTAGTGATTGAAATATTTTGTTCAAGTTGCTAGAAATTACCCCAAAGCAGTAGCATTGCTGGACAGGCAATTTACAACATCCAGACAGAGATGTTAATGGGCATGTTATTAAACAGATTCCTTTAGATGATGCTAAACTATAAACAGATGAATAATGTTGAGGAAGACACCTTTCTCACTATCTTAATATCGCAGACATGATATTTTTAATGCAAAAATCAGCATAGATGTTGATAAAAGATTATAAATTATGTTAAATAGGTAGGCACCAACTATTGTGTCAGGTGAATCAATTCTTTTCTGTGCTAGTCATTCTAGAGTACTTGACAAATTACAAATGTGGAATGTTTGTTACTTCCAGGGCAATTCATAAGACTAAATTCTTATTGGGCTCCTTATTGGGGAATCAGTACTTTACTTTTTCTACATGTTTACTTTATTTGGAAAGTCGGTACTATTTTTGTCATTTTTACAGTCTTTTAACACATTTTTTACTCCTGAAAAGTAGTTCCTAAAAGCATGCTTTATAGATTATGTTGAGTGTAATAAATGTGTGAAAAGGGTTACACCCATAGAGAATTTGGAAATAAAAAAATATTTAGAAACACAAAGCAGTGTGTGTTTCTTTCCTTCTGTGTAGTAAAAAACATTTTATGAAGGTTTATGCCTTCCAACTCTTCATTTCAGATCGTTGGACTTAGAATTGGAGTGTCCTTTGGGTTTGTGGAAATCTGTTGAAATCTGAGGTATAGAAGTGACATTCATTAAACTTTTTGGCCAAGATCTTCACCCACAGTAAATCAGGATAGCTCAGTTGGGAGTTAGTATAGCTACACTGATTTACAAGGGTAGAGCACTTCAGCCTCCTGATACAAAGGATACTTTAATCCCATTCTTCTGTCACTGATTTGCTTGATAATCACAATTCTGCTCTCTCTGTTTACAAACTGGTTTGGTGATACTTTGAAAGCATTGTTAAATTCGTCTCTCTTTCTTATATTCCATAATGAAGTGTCACAACCTCCTACGATAACTCATCAGTCTCCAAAAGATTACATTGTTGACCCTCGAGAGAATATTGTAATACAGTGTGAAGCCAAAGGAAAGCCACCTCCTAGGTTAGTAGCATTTTGTTTTGCTTTTGTTGGCCTAACAGCATGGAAGAACTAGGAGAAAATACTGTAACTTTTGTAAACTAACAAGATTATGTGTATGAATATGCTTGCACATGCAGAAACATGCATGCACCCCTACCTCTGTAATTTAAACAGCTACCAGATAGTGGTAAATTTGACTCTTCTCATATTTGACATTTAAACTTTTCTGTATTCATCAAGCAACTGTAGTATTTTCATTCTCAAAGCTCTACCAATAAAATAATAAACAACTATTTGAACAGCAGATAGGTAAATACCCATGGAACACACAAAGAGACATGCCGTACTATGAACTGGATCACATTCCAGATTTAAGCATTGTGTTTAAGAACAATGGATGTTGAGTGAATTCAGAGTAACACTAATAAATTCACATTTAATGTTTTGTAAATCATTCTGGTTTTTGAGGCTCATCTTGGAATACATTTTGTCAGAATATAATTTGTATCAGTTTTAATGTTCAGTAGCCTTTATTTACCAAGAGTATTTAATAGGCTTAAGTTTCGGTTTTGACAGAAATGGTAGCCCTCTACATAGATCAGATTCCTGATCTTTGTCCATTTTAAGGTTCTCTTTAAATTTAAGATCCTCTTTCAGGGTCTTTAAATACTTAAAAACTATTCATTTCAAGACACTGAGTACCTGTACTGGAAACAACAATAGCCATGATACATTCTGGCACTGTTAGTATCTGCCTCTGATTTCAGAGACTATGAACACAGAAATGTGCATCTCTGTGTGCTCAGCAATGTTATGCTACAACTTACTAGCAAGGTCAGTCTATAACTGTTCATTCAGACGCAGACAGAGCTCATTAAATGTACTTCTTCTGGATAACCAGGCTTTTTGGCACATTATTCCTGCTGGTTGCCTTGGCATCCTGGTCATTATCATGCTGGGCAGCAGAATGGGGAAGATGGAGGTTGTCTGGGATATTCTCACCCTTTCTAGTGTTCCATTAATGATAGGAGTGCCACAGATCTGCTGTGTTTACCAGCACTTTAATTTAGCTGGCCCAATGCCATTTTTAAGAGTCTGGGTGTTGACCTGGAAGATCAGATGATTATTGTGCACTTTGGGACAACTGTATTGCTTCTTCAGATGTTTCTCTTGAATGTCTTTTTTGGTTGGAATTACCTGAGGAAAAAAGGATGCTGTCTGTGAGACTAACTAACCTGAGCTGTGTGCTAGTGCTCAGCAGCTGTGTGCTGCTCTACATCCTCATTTTCCCCATCAAACCTGTAACTGGCTTTGTTCCCCTACTACAGAGGAAGAGACGGGATTTCAGTACAGAATTTTTTCATGACTTTTACAAGCTTGTGCTTAGTCTTCCTTATTTTTCAAGATATGACATCCAATTAATTTATATCAATAGTCTGTCTGGTCCATCAGTCCTGATAACCTGCAAATGCATATTGGAACTTGATCTGCTCAAAAGCTCTGAATTTGAACTTTCTCAGCCCACAGTGTGAATTGGTTGTTAGAACAAGGCAACTTCTTACTGGTCAGAGCATCTGGCATAAAGGTTTATGGATGTGCTTCTTGAGCAGTAAAGACTCTGACTTTCCTGTTTCTCTAATTCAGGGGTTTGTACCACTTATGCTACCTCTCAATTGAAGCTACATTACAATTTCCCACATCCTTCAGTTATTGGTAGCAGAGGATTACAGAAACCCCACTTTCTGAAGCTTCTTTCACAAGGTTATAAAAGAGGTTTGCTGTTGGTTCGCTGTGCCTGCTAGTCCTCCCAAAAACACTGCAGTGTGATGCAGTGCTGCTGGTCAGGTCTAGTTCTGTCTCCCACCCCAAAGTGCAAATAGCGTGTCTGCATGCTGCAGAAGGTCAGTGTACAGTGTGAGTCCCTTAGAATTTCAGCTTTTCCAGTACCATTTAAGTTTCTATTTTAGGAAGCATTCTAACCAGTAAGCACATAGACTGTGCTTAAGATTCTGAAGCAAAAGTGTAACAAGTATGAAAGCTGCTCTTTACAGCATTTGAACCTGTGAGCACTCAGCACTTCACAGGCATTGTCTAGTTTTCTATGACTATACTTTTGACCATTAACAGAGCATATATAAGAAATTGGTGTTTACAGTAGTCTAAGTTGCAAATTGTGAATCTCTGCTTCTTTACAATTTTTTTGTGGGTTCTATTAGTCTTCATTTTTAGTGACTACTTTTATAAATTTACTAGATTAATTATTAGCTATCAGACTATATAATTTCATTTAAAGAGTCATGATTGGTTGTGTTATAATAGTGAAAAGAAATCAAACTCACCACATAGTCTTTAATTCATTTGCATAACTTCAAAATTACCAAACCAATTAAAAGAAATGGTCTTCTGCTGGGGCCTGAGATGGCACATTTCAGCCCAGAGCAAGTTTTTAAAGACAGGTTTACAGGTGCTTTCAACAACAGGTTTTATAATGGAAATGCTAATGCAGCTTTAGCAGTATCAGTTCTTGCAGATGTTACTGCATCATTTTTATCAGAAACTAAATCAGTTCTTTCCCGTGTATGATTAACCTCAGAATCCTTTAATGTATTTAAAAAAAAAAAAAATTGACTTTGAAATGGCTCCTGTTAACAAGTTCAGCCAAAACCTTTTATCTTAAAACATTGCCCAATTTCTCATATTAAAAGTGCTGTATTATGTCATTAGCTCATTTATTTTGGGAAGAAGTCTTACTTATCTGCTAAAGAAGAAATAACATGCATTTTTTGGTAACTACTTTTTTTCTTCTTTTCATACAATCTACAAAAGGCAGCTCAAGAAGAAACTTTTCTTTTTGTTTTTATTATTTTAGCTTCTCCTGGACACGCAATGGAACTCATTTTGATATAGATAAAGATGCACAGGTAACAATGAAACCAAATTCAGGGACCCTTGTCATAAATATTATGAATGGTGGGAAGGCAGAAGCATATGAAGGAGTATACCAGTGTACAGCAAGGAATGAACGAGGAGCAGCCATTTCCAACAATATTGTTATAAGGCCTTCTAGTAAGTAAAGATCTTAATTTTCAGAAAACGTGAAACACTTTGGTTTTCTTAATTTCTTATGAACTTTTTGCCTTTTTGTTTTCCTGTCTTAAAAATTTAATCATCAAAGTGATTTTGTTAGAAGTTACTGTCTCTTTTCTGATACTTAGATTTAATACTGTATTGCATGTTCTCTCAAATATTTTTTTAGAAAATTTAATAACTTGGGTTTTTTTCTTAGTACAGCTAGATGACCTATCATATTTAAAAATGATTTGTATATATGACACTACTATTAAAACAAAATATTTAAATCCTTAGTGCACATCATTGCTGATGACAATTTTTATTCTTTTTACAAAGCCTGTGTTCCACAGTTTTTGTAATAGCTTTACTACAGAACAGATTGGGACTAAAAAGAAGATAAGGCAAACAAATTTTTATTAATGGTGGACTGTTTTTGCAGCTTTTTATGTGCTTTTTAATCTCAGATTAGTTTTTCAAGCTTCTCAGCTTAAAATGTGCTGTTCTTACATTTTAATAAAACTGCATGTATAATATTGTTTCAAGAAGGTCTACTCCTTCTAATTTAGCACATCGCTTTTTTTTTTCATTATCATAGTTAAAACTTTTCAAGTTACTGTTATAAAACCTTTTGTGAGAAGGCAAAATTATTTGAATCAGTCGATTATACTTTCAGCAAATCAATGCTGCACTTTTCTTTCAGAAAACATAAAAAAAGAACAAAAATTAAATCTTTAGTAAATGTGACAGGACTTAACATTGCGATGCATGTACTTCTTCTGTTTTTCTGGAATATTATGTGCATTTTCCCATAAATTTTGGAGGTTTTGTCAATCCATAGTTTGTGTGTGTGTTAAAATTACTTTCTATAGGATCGCCTTTGTGGACCAAAGAAAAACTAGAACCACATCAGGTTCGCGAAGGTGATTCACTCGTACTGCACTGCAGACCTCCTGTTGGCTTACCACCACCTATAATATTTTGGATGGATAATGGTGAGTTTGGTTTTTATGCAGAAGTAGTTTACTTTTTGCAGTTTTTCTGCATAGTAGATCATTGTTTACTTACCAAGACCAGATGGTGGAGTTTCCCTGTAAGTTAAAATTCAGAGAATTTCCATTTCTGTAGAACTGAAGAAACAAGCAGACATACAGCCCAAAAGCCTGAAGTCAAAAGCAGCTGGAGATCTTCATGTAAGTTGTAGATTAACCCACTGGGGAAGAATGGGAAGACAGGGGAACTTGCTGGGAAACTTAGAAATGTCTGTATGTACAAAGCCACAAACAGTGTAATTGAGCAAATGTGGAGTCTGCAGATCATAATAATGGAGTGTATATTATAATTGAGATAAATGTGTCCTTGTTTTCCCTTAGCTTTCCAAAGGCTGCCTCAAAGTGAAAGAGTTTCCCAAGGTCTAAATGGAGATCTTTATTTTTCTAATGTACAACCAGAAGACACCCGGGAGGACTATATCTGCTATGCAAGATTTAATCATACACAAACTATACAGCAGAAACAACCCATTTCTGTAAAAGTCTTTTCAAGTAGGTATTGCATTACCTAATTACATATTTACGTAGTATTTATCCGGAGTTCTCAAGTTATATGCTGACTTTAAGTAGTGTTACGCTAGGGAATGTTGTCATTTTAATTCTAAATAAGAAATTGTTCTACTGTATAAACTTGGGCAATGTAATCTCCAATTTTCTTGACATTTTAAGAGCTGCCATTTTTCCCTTTATAAGGCTTTGTCTTCTGAAAAAATGTTTTGTAAGATTTGAAATATAGAAAAAATACCATGTAAAAAATAAGTTTTCAGATGATTTTCCAGTGCAATAATATAAAGTTATTATGAATATTGTAACTATTGAAACAAATTAATCAATCATTTGATTAACTCACCGTGGCCATATCATCACCTTTTGATTCCCAGAACTTTTATTTATCCCTCTCGTATGCATTCTTCATGATATTCTGTTTATTTCAGTGGATTCATTGAATGACACTATAGCTGCTAATTTGAGTGACACTGATATTTATGGTGGTGAGTTACACTGGTCCCCACTGATACTCCCTGTTTCACAGTAGCATTTAGTTAACTAACCTCACCTCCATGGCTACTTAACCTTTTGCTCCCTTTTCAGTTTCTAATAAAGGTATCAATTAGTGCTGGTGATAATATATACTTTAGGAAGGGACTGCACAGTGTGATCCTTTTAAATACTTAATTTTTCAATGTTGTTGTAACATATGGCTCATAAAAAATATAAATGCTTATTATAAATGAGTCCTTTCACACTGGGGCAGATTTTAAAATTGGTCTAGTTGATTGCTTCTATACTGTGTTGCTTTTTCTTATTTTTCTCCAATTTACCAAGTAGTTTGATAGTTCATTATCACTAGGACTATTCACTATCGTATGTTGCATAACAAATAACAACAATTAAGCATTTAACAGATGCACTTCACATTTAATATCTTATTGTATGTACCATTCATTTTTATCTTAATTCATGAGCGTGAAACTGGAATTAATAAAAATCTGAACACTTTAATACTATCTGTATAAATAACTATGTAGGAGTGAGATGACTTTTGTTTGCTTGGTGTTTAAACTGGTCTTCCCATTAATTTATGTTGAATTGTCTTTTGTATATTTTGACTTAAATCCTCCCAAACAGGCTTGTGTATGTTTAGCGAGGCTGACTTTGGAGCACTACTGATTCTGTAACACTTGAGGTTCTAGACTCTCCACTTGATATTGTGTGATGTAGAAAATAATTGATAATTTACTCTATTTTGTCTTTTTCCTTGTCAAATGGGGCTCTGTACATATTAAACCATAACTTATGTAAATCCAAAATAAAACATGGGCACAGAATATTTTATTTCTCTGCATAAAACTTACATGTTATTCAGGAGGAACAAACAAAAAATAAATACCTGAATACAAAACAATATATTAACTACAATTAATTAGGAAAATACTGTTCAATTGGGTCACAACTCAGAAACACCAGGGTAATTCTTCTGAATTTTCATAGTCTCAAAATATGAGATATATTAGTTGTTGCTGTGACTGTCAACTGTGTTCTTGACTCTAGACTTCCCCTTTCTCTCAACAGTGTTTTTTGTGTACTAATTTTTAAGAAATTCACAGCACATACTGTATTTAAAATCATATTTATGTTAATTTGTCAGTAAATCCCGTACCCTAACAAACTTAGAGTTTATTGTGTTTCTAATCACATTAAAAAAAATAAAAATTACTGTAATGTTTCAGATTGCTACTGCATTTCAGAGCAATTTAATCCTATATAGTAAATTGCTATAAGAGAAAATTAGAGGATGCTCAGAAAACACTCTATAATTACAGAAAACACTCTTATTTTGACTTCCATAAAGGCACAGGAAATACTATAATACTTCAAAAGCCAACAGAGTATAATGTCAGAAATTGGTCTTATATTTATAGCTGCCTATTTACTGTAGTTATTTCTTATAGGTTAATCAATGGTTCTTTATTACAAGGCTGGGGAAATGCTTGAATTAAAGTTAAATATACAGCAAGAGGCAAATACAAGGCTTCTGAAACCACATCTCATATTGTCTAGAAAGTATTAAAACATATTGCAAAGCAGGGCATACCTTTCATCCCCTTGGTTTATATTTTTGAGTAAAATAGCTTTGCTTTATTTTTATTTTTATGGAAGCCCAGAAATTTTTGGTAACTTTGAGTCTTGCACTGTGCCTCACACTAGTGGCTTATTACTCCCCATAATAATTCTGCTGAAGTGAATAGGGGCTGCTTAGGATTAAGGCTGCATAGTTGTCTATGTAAAAGCTTTGTATCAGTTGCTCCTGTCTTTAATAATAACATTTTTCATGTATATGTTCAAAATTGTGGCATTTAACAGATATGTTATGTCTGTCAAAACCTAATGTGTTGAGCTCTGTAGTTGTGTTACACAATGACTTAAATGGCCAATGTAGAGCACAATCTGTCCAAAATGTGAGAATGGATGTATGCATTTGATCAGTATTGAGAGAAAAATTAGAAATTAATTTGAATTTTTCTTGTTTCAGCGAAGCCAGTTACAGAGAGGCAGCCAGTTCTTCTAACACCTACAGGTAGCACGAGTACCAAAGTGGAACTCAGAGGAAATGTGCTTTTGTTGGAGTGCATTGCAGCAGGATTGTGAGTTACTTTTTAGATAGGCGTTTTTTTTCTAAATAGAAATACAGAAACTGAGGGAAACCTTTCAGAGATGCTTAAAATGTTACCACTGTATAAGCTTATGTGTTTCAAAGAAGCAGAAGTGTAGAATGGAAAGAGCTGTATTGAGGAAATCCTCCATTTACTTGGGGATCAGCAGACTTTAAAACTGATTATGAACATATGTATGGCCTCTGCCTTCTCAGATTCTCAAACCCTATGCACAGGATACGGGTTATACCGTTGGTTTTAAAGGACACAAGCAAGAAATGCCATAGGATAAAGTCAGGCAAATATACGAAGAATTGCTCTCAGGAATACAGCCTCTGTTTTTTTCCTAAGTTTGCAATCATTAGGCTCTCAAATTATATAAAAATAGACATGAATTTACTGTTCTAATCTGAGAAAGCTTCTTATATATGCTAGTAATTACTTAGTAGATCAGCTAGATGGGAGTTGTTAAAAGATATCTTCAGCTCCTTACATCAGATTTCTCATTGTAATTGAGTTTAATTGCTACTTGTTTCTTCAATGCAATGCAAGTTTGCTTCTGCTGGTTATTGGGCAAGAAGAAAATTACTAAAGAGCAATTTAACTTCATTAATTAGGTTGATCTTAAGTTAGTTTCAGGAAGAAATCTGAGAATAGATTGCTTAGAAATAGAAAATCCTCAGTACCTGTTTCAGGAACTGTAAATGTGTTTACAGTGAACAAAGGCGTATAACGCAGAGGGCTCTGACTTAGCCATGAGGAAAGCCAATAACTGTAAATCATGCACCACAGCATCATGCACATGTGTTCACTTGCATAAGCTCTAGAGGGCTTCTCATGCACACTTGACACAGTTTGATAGGAGCATCGGTGCATTGTTTCTGTCTCAGCTGTGGTCTGCTCAGGTGATTGCGCCAGCAGCACCAGCAGCACCAACAAAACCATGACCGTGAGTAGCATCAGCTCAGGTAATCTTTGTCTGCAATATGGTTACATGCTTTTTGACAGTCCATCAATAAAAGTATTTGGTGATCCAAACACAGGTAAAATGGCTGGATAAAACCCATGAAAAATATAGAGTATTATACAGGTTAGTGTCTTTAGCTGTCATGTAATTAAAAAAAAAATAATTCACCGAGGGAATACTTGTCCACAAAGGGTCAGATGCATATTTTTTTAAAAACAACTATTCCTAATTACGGACACCATAAATAAGTGTCTGTGTTATAAAATCTGTGATATTAGACTGCTAAGGGGCTATTTGCCTAGAGTCATTACTATTTGGAAGAGGACATTCTACTCAGTAAGAGTAGAACACCTTCTAATTTCTTGTCATTTTAAAAATGTATCTCCATGTGTTTGAACAACTTTTCAGCTTCAGTGGACAACTGGGGGCATAGCCAAGGTTTAGACATGGTGCAGTGACAAGTAGCTATACTTGACTCAGCACTTTCATTTTTTTCTTCATTTCTCATAAGAAATATTTCTATCTGCTTACAGCTCTGCTGTAAAATTTATGATGTTCATGAAGCATAGGATATTGCTCACACTAAGGACAATTATAAACTTGTCATTATCTAGAAGCTACCTTTAAAAACACCATAAGCATCAATTTAATAGTAGAAGCACAATGAGATTTGAAACTTGTCTTCATTTATCAACTATCAGGTATTTTAAATTAATCAGCAGACAAATGTATTCTGTAATTATTACTCCTATGAACAGATGGCCATTGACAGTGTTAGTGAAGCTTGTCATTTCCTAGAAACAAATGCTGGCATATCTTTCATATTTGTTGCATGAGCCCCTGAATCTGGGTAAAGGCTCTCAAAATCACAGAATATGCTGAGTTGAAAGGGGCCGCTGAATCATCAAGTCGAACCCCTAGCCCTGCACAGGACCATTCCCAAGAGTCACTCCATGTGCCTGAGAGTATCATCCAAACACTTCTTGAACTCTGTCGGGCTTGGTGCTGTAACCACTTCCCTAGGGAGCCTGTTCCATCACCCAACCACCCTCTGGGTGAAGAGAACTTTTTTCTAATCACCAACCTAAACCTCCCTGACACAATTTCAGGCCATTCCCTTGGGTCCTGTCGCTGGTCACCACAGAGAAGAGATCAGTATCTACCCCTCCTTTTCCCCTCATAAGGAAGTTGTAGACTGCAATGAGGTCTCCCCTCAGTCTCCTCTTCTCCAGGTGTTAACATACTAAAACATATGTTAAAAAAAATTAATGTATTGAAGTCTTATCTTCCTTTTCTTCAATCCCTAAATTTGGTCTGTGCTTCTGCTTCTCCAGACCCACACCGGTAATCCGCTGGATTAAAGAGGGTGGGGAACTGCCAGCCAACAGAACATTTTTTGAAAATTTTAAGAAAACTCTCAAGATTATAGATGTTTCTGAAGCTGACTCTGGGAACTACAAGTGTATAGCAAGAAATACACTGGGTTCAGTTCATCATGTAATTTCAGTAACCGTGAAAGGTAATACTAAAATTATCATTAATGTAATGTTGTCAAATATACAGAATACAAGACTGAAGTGGGCTTTCTAGGATGAAGTACACCTGAAAGGATAAATGATAATGGTTAAAAAATACCCTGAGGAAACAATCGTTAAACCACCTGAATTCTAGTACTGGAAGGACTATTTCTAATCTCTTTTTCATTTTTTAATGTTCTTTTATAAAGCATCAGACTAAATTGTTATTGTACTGTAACAGTAGTAAGATAATTCATTAGTTTGCACCAGTACTACATTTATTTTAGATCCTTTGATTTTCTGTCATTAGACTGCTTCTTTCTCTTGTTTTTATATTTTTCTCCCCATGCCTCTTCATCATCTTTCTTATTTTCTCCATTTTTTCTGCACACCATTCATATAGCCCAGATTCTTTCTTTTTTATTTTACTATCATCTTACAGTCTTATATTCTTCCTTTTTCTCTCTTAAATGACATTTCTGAGTTTCTGCCTTCATGTTTTTTTACTCAAAATGATGCCTTACTAGTTCTAAAATCATTTACAATGTTTGTCTAAACAGGAATTGTAAGTATGTTGTGAATACCATGAAACAAAAACCTGTAATGGCAGCTAATTAGTCATTGAAATAATCAGTTGTAGTGCTTACTTTGCATGCTAAATAGCCCTTTACTGTGTTGTAGATCAGCATCATTTTATGATCACATCAAACCTCCTTTTTAAGAGAAGTTTCATTTTCTGTTTGCATCTGTCCCTCAATCCAAAGTCTGAAATTTAATTGCAAGATGCAATAACATATGCTCTTTGTGGTTATTTATTGTAAAAAGAATGGAGAAATAGTTGGATATCTTTTATTAGGGGCAGTGTTCCACCCATTCTGACCTCAATGTGTTTTCATCTTTCTCAGATAAACATCTGACCCCACTGCAATCGTCCATTGAATTTAGTGAGACCAAGGGTTTTTCCATTTCTAAATTTCACCCTTGACACGAAATCTTTTTGTATAGTCAAACCTAAATTCATTTCTAACAGCCTAACTATTGTGAGCATGGATATCTCTGAAATTAATCAAAATACCACTGCAGTCTCTGCAGATGCCATACTCAGATAAATTTTGCTTGCTTCGGGAAAGGCAAGTTAGATTCAAAGCAGGCAACCCTAAGTGAAAGACAACCCTTGTTGTTTGTATCAGAATTTTAATGCAATAGGTAGTGAATAGCTCAGTTTAGCCAATGTATAATCTACCAGTTAATCCTTGGGTATCACATAGAGAGAGATATATGTACATATATATATAAAGTAACAGTATAGGTGTAAGTCTGTATCTACACATACCTTGTTTGAATTATCTTCTGGTTACTGTATCTGTGCTTTATGACTTTCTGTACATAATTTTGGAAAATGATTGTTGTCTTTCTCTTCTTAAAACCAGCTGCCCCATACTGGATAACAGCACCCAGAAACTTGGTCTTGTCTCCTGGAGAAGATGGGACATTGATCTGCAGAGCTAATGGCAACCCAAAGCCTAGTATAAGCTGGTTAGCAAATGGCGTTCCCATAGCAAGTAAGATTCTTAATTACCTTACAGGAGCATGAATAAGAAAATATGACGAATATATGAGGTTTTTCTAATATAAGTGAAGAGCCTGTATATGAGTAGTTTTTGCCTGACAGGTAATACTAAATTTACAAAATATGTGGTAAAAATACTGTAGTTCATGAAAGTGGAACAACAAAATGTGCCCCTAACATGTTTGAGAGCACTAAAATGTGTAAGCATACCCCATTTTGTTCTGTCTAGTGTTCTGCTGGTAAGTATCTTTGTGGAGTTCAGGTGGTAGTAACAAAGCTGTGACATTTGTCCCTTTCACAAAGCCATTGCTGGGGTGTAATTTTTACTTATGTGCTTCTGTGGCAGTCATGTCTGCTAGATTGCTCCTTTGGTGCCCACTGCAACTCTAATGTTGTCAAGGAGTCCTGAATGTGACATAAAAGATCAAGTCCTCACATTTGTGGATATACAGAGCACTTGTAGGATTTGCAGGATTTGCAGTGCACTGCAGGATTTGCAGCTTAGCATATGTTTGAGCCTTCCAGGCTTCATTACTAAGAAGCTGCAGCAGCAAAACTGACTGAATGTGTCAGCAACTACCTGGCAAACAGCTTTTGCCAAGAAGGTGTCAAAGAAAAGGAACGCCTAAGGCAGTGGAACGGCTGTTTCTGTGTACATGGATACAAAAAGGAGGCCTGAATTGATAATTGAGTCACTTAATTGTCCTTACACGGGCAATGCTGTATGACAAACACAAGGTAGCCACTATATATAGCACAACTTTACTTGGGAAGGACTTGCTGGAGGACACTGCAGGGTGTGCACTCAGTATTCCCTGTGCCGCAAAGTCACGCTTGGTTCTTCTAGCTTTACCCTTCCTCACTCACAAAACAGTAGTATAAAAACAGACAATCTGCCCTGTTGGCTCATGAGAGACAATGTACTCTAAAATAGTGATCTCTGCTTACCTGTTTAAAGTATGACAGTGTCACTTTCAGAAGTTTAGGAGTTAAGTCTGTTGATGAAGCAATGTCACCCAGTTTGGGGCATGGAGAAGGATTGTCTACAGTCAAATCTAGGAAATAGCAACAGGTAAATGAGAACCCTCAATAGATACATTTGAAGTATTTGGTATACAAGTAAGATTAAATTTAATTGGCTATTTAGCAAATAACCTGTTTCATGAATCCTAATTAGATGTAAGTTGAGATCTCTAGCCTGAGATTTAAAATTACAAGTTTCCATTGGTTAAATACGTCATGTAAGCTGACATTAACCACCTCATCAAACAATGGTTTGACAGGAAAACAGGAAAGTAGCAATGTAGTTTTGTATTGTGTATATTTATACATAAATATATCATAGTGTATGCCTTATCATAGAAGTTCGGTACCTGTCTTTCACTTTCCTTTCTGGATTTTTGGTGTTCTCCTCTTCCTTTGCTATTTTCTACATATTTACCATTCACTTTTTGTTTGTTTGTTTGGAGGAGATTTTTATCCTGCTTTCCCGGTAGTTTTAACTTATTTCAGGCTTCCTGACTAATAAAATCCTTTTCACCTGGCTGTGAGAGTCACCTTTGCCTTGCACTACTTCCTTGTCAAAGCTGTAGGACATGCTGTTCAAATGACAGACAAGTATATTTTCCAGAAAAGCGGTGATGTGTTCTGCATTCTTGCAGGGTAGCAGTAAAATCGGGGTTTTCAGAAGCAGCTGCAGGATGCCACCAAATTTTCCAAATACAAAGGCAGCGTATATTGGCTGGCTGGCCTTGAGGAATCAGTACACAGAGTCTTGTTGAAGGGAACTCAGTAAAAATTAAAGACTTTAATTAAATTACCCACTCAAACTCAGTAGGGGAAAAAAAAAAGGAAAGAAGACTGGAAATAAACAAGTGAGTAGCTCAGCCTTATGAGAAAGGTCACTTTCACTGCTGAGAAAAGCTGAAGTTTTATCCACCTTAAATCTTTAAGTGCAAGATGATTGGATGCTCCAGTACAGTGCATCTGTCAGCACATCTGAGAGAAGCATCATAGTCACAGAAAGTGCAGTTCTTAAAATTCTTGTGATTATTTCTTATTCTGAATTATCAAAAGCTGTTCTGGAAACTCCCAAGTACAGTGGACCTTTTTGTTCACTTGTTACTAAATTATAGAATTGAGCCCCTCGTCTTCCAACTGAACGATTAGTAAATCACTGTAAAAGGAAACTAAAGCAGCTGTTTCAGCTTCAGGGCAGTGCTAAGAGAGCTACACCCATGGCAAGATTTCAAAGAAAAAGAGCTACATTTGAATTTCAAAGCCCTGCTGTCATCATATATCCCACAATGTGCCTCCTGTGGCCTAGTAATCTGTTTGCAATACTTTAATTTTCTGTCAGAAAGCACAGCTGGGAGATACTTAATTCTTCCGGTTTTGTTTTTTCATAATAGAGTCAGACAAGGAAGGGGGAGTGTTGAAGAAAGAACCATTCGTCCATATCTCAGTCAAAGACTGAGGCTTAAATATCAGTGGGGAAAAGGGAAAAATAAAAATGTAGTGTGTATTAAGTACCTATGAAACAAAATTGCAATGGTAAATTTTGTTCAAGATTATAATAATCTGAGTAAACCAATATTTTTAGAGGAAGATTTTTAGGTTTATCTAAAATATTTTAATTAATATTTTTCAACAATAATACTGAAAAGAAAAACACCAGCATTTCAGAAAAAAAAAAAAAACAAAGCTGCTTCAGACTTACTGGAGTGATAAGGACCTAACCTAACCTCTCAATGTTTACCAACAGGAGTATTTTGAACTCACGTGCACCATCCTGTTGAGGTCAATTGGAATTACTTTGGCAAATAGCAATTGAAAGTTCAGGCCATGACTGCCATGCCTCATGCTTCAATTAACACTCAAGATCTGCATTATTTATACTGCTGCGTGATCCATTGTGTCTTACTGCTTAGATATTCAGCATGGTTTTACAAAAGGGAAACCATGCATAAAGTATGTCAACTTTTAAGAAAGTAACAACCCAGATTAATTGAGAAGGGGAAGCACTTTCATAATTGGACTTCAGAAAGGCATTGCAAATACTGTACAAAAGACTAATTTATCAGTTCAGTGGTTTATAGTTCATGATGAGCTATTAATTATTAGATACAAACACCTAGATTTATACAAAGTAGTGCACTCAAAGTCACTGTTTATCATCTTTCAACATGTTCTTTTCTTGTTTATATCACATTTCAAATTGAATTTCTAGATTTGAGTTAGTCTCTGTTGCTACTCATATTGAATTTAAGGGAGAAACATTAGCCTTTAGATTTCCTTCATGAAAGGCCTTGATAATTCCTGGCTCAGAGATTTGTCGTCCATTGTGTTTTCTCTGAGTATACACACACACTGCATATACTGGCTGTTCATGGCAGCCATGGGTGGGTGAAGAGAAATTTGCTGGAGTGGGGTGCCCTAAGAAGTTCAGTCTCAAACAGGAGAGTACTGCCAGGGCAGACATCTATCTGCTGCTTCTGCTGTCATTGTGTTGGAACTGTGCATCTGACCTAGGAACTGCAGCAGTTATAAAAACCTTTGATAATCAGTTTTTCTTTAATTTTGCACAAGATAGTCAAAGGATGGTCATAATTAGTGCAGGTAATGCAGTCCCTTTGGAGATAATAGAACTACCAGAATCAGAAACTCGGAAATCAGAAACTTTGCTGAGAAGCATGTGAGATTCGCAAGAAAAGGAAAAGAGCATTCTTTGCCATTTCAGTCATTCAGTTATAGGTAGTTTTAACCCCAGAAAGACTTTTCTAGTTTTGAAATTGATTACTATATTCATAAATTACTAATGAATGTGAATTTTTGGAAGAATAAACGGGTGAACAACAATAGGATACTTCTAGCAAAAGTTACTATAATACAAATGACCCTGATGATCCTCTCAGAAGGTGGCAAGCATGAGTAATACTATAAAAGGACCATATGTTACTATACTCATAGCAGGAAAAAAAGCACCTAAGCTTCTCTATTTGCTTTCTTTATATATTTCCACAGTAACAGTGTCTTCAAAGCTATCTCTGAAGTTAGAGTTGTTAAAAATCATGACTTAAGAGCCATTGCTAATCTCACACTGATTTACATTCCCTATTGTTTGTGCATAAACTTAAGGAAAGAATTGTAGTAATACTAGAACTACGATAACAAATGTTCAGTATAAAAATGTACTGCAGGAGGAGATCACTCAGATCTGATACAGTAGTTTATTGAGTTCTAATCAGTAAATTTAGGTATATAAAATATTTAATAAGTACAGATGGGTTTGCGGTCAGTACTATTTACTACACTTATAGTTAGAATGCAATACAAAGATTATCACATAAGTTCACTCTAAGTATCTTAAATGCTACATGAATGCACAAACTTGTCGCTTACTAACACATTGATGTTTGGTGTCAGTTAAGCAATTCTTACCTGACTCCATGTAGTTGGGAGCAAATGTTAGCTGTTAAAGAGCACATGCTTAACTGTCCTGTTACAGCAGCAGAACTCCTATAGCAAATCCTCATCATTCATATACCCATTTTAAGTATTATGTAGTTTGACTATCAGTACCAAATTCAGATTTGGCTATCATGCCTTTTTTGTGCAGCTATCCTGTAATGTGACCAGAATACTCTTACAGGCAAACAAGCAGTGCTTGAGTGGCCCTACGCTCTTTTTTCCCTAGGAAAAAAGAAAAAAAAGGAAAAGGAAAAAAAAAGACTGGATTATGGAAAGGGTTGAAGTACTACATGGCTATTCTGCCTCACTCTTTATTTGCTAGCAAGACTGGCCTTTGGGAATCCCAGGTTCCACAGACCAGGGAAAAAGACTTGAATAAGCTGTACCCTCAGTGGAAAAGGATCAGGTCATGGGATACTTAGGCTAACTGGACTTATGTAAGTCCATGAGCCCTAATGGGATGCACTCACAAATGCTGACTAAACTGGCATATGTCATTGAAAGGACACTCTGGATAATCTTAGATTGATCATGGTAACTGGGAGAAGTGCCCGAAGACAGGAGGAAAGCAAGTGTTACTCCTGTCTTCAAGAAGAACAAGTAGGAGAACCCAGAGAACTACAAGCTGGTCACCTTTACCTTGATCCCTGGAAAGGTGAAGGAGCAGCTAAGTTTGGAAACTATTTCCAGGCACATTAGGAACAAGAAAACTGTCAGGAGTAGTTAGCATGGCTTCACCAAGGGGAAGTCATGTTTGACCAACTTGACACATTTCTATGATGAAGTGACTGGCTGGGTAGGTGGGGGTAAGAGTAGTGGATAATGTCTACCTAGCCTTTTGTGAGGCCTTTGACACTGTCTCCCGTTAGATGCCCATAGACAAGCTGTTGATGTATGGGCTGGATAGAAAAATGGTTGAATGGCCAGGCCCAGAGAAGGTCATCAGTGGCACAAAGTCCAGCTGGAGGCCAGTAACTAGTGGTATACCCCAGAGGTCTGTCTTGTTTAATGTCCTCATTAATGATCTGGATGATGAGGCAGAGTGTACCCTCAGTAAGTTTGCTGATGACACGAAAGTGGGAGGAGTGGCTGATATACCAGAGGCTGATATACTACCATTGAGAGGGACCTCTTCAGGCTGGAAAAATGGGCTGACAAGAAACTCATGAAGTTCAGCAAACTGAAGGGAGAAGTCCTGCAAGTGGGGAGGAACAACCCTAGTGCCAGTACATGCTGGGGAGAATCCAGCTAGATAGTGGCTTAACAGAAAAAGACTGGGGCATCCTGGCCAAGTTGACCATGAGCCAGCAATGTGCCTTTGCGGCACAAAGAGGCTCAAGTTATCCTTGGCTACATTAGACAAAGTATTTCCAGCAGGTCAGGGGAGGTGATCCTGCCCCCATCTGGACACAGTTCTGGGCAACTGGCTCTAGGTGGCCCTGATTAAGATGGGGTTTGGGCCAGATGACCAATACCGGTCCCTTCTAACCTCAGTGATTCTGTGTGCTGTGTGTGCAGCAGTGTTTAAGATCATTAAAAATGCTAAATGATACAGCATCTAACTTGTATGGCCTGGCCCTGCGAAACACGGTATAATACACGGGCAAAGGCTTGTAGGTTCTGTTTGTGTTGCGTGGGAGGATGAGGCATGTCAGAAGACAGGCTGTTGACTAGATGCCAGTCTCAACAGGGAGCTTTTGAATCAATGCCCTGCAGCATGCAAGTGGCTAGACCAGTTAATAGGAAGCACAGACTAACCTGACACTTTCCTGTTTTCTTTCCTCTTGGGATGGACAGCTTGAAGCTGTTTTCTGAGAACAAGCACCTTCCTCCTTTCCTTCAGATAGCTGAAAAGGGATATCTCTTTTTTTCCTTAAATACAGCAGTGGGAAGATGCTACCTCTCTTTTTATATATAATTTAATGGTTAGATCATTCTTTTATAACCCACTTCCTTCTTCAGTCATAGAGAGTTGAATTAATGGCTTCCATCTCTTTGGATTGGCCCTGCCATCAGCCTGTAAGGCTTGATATAGATACATAGATGTATGAGAGTGTGTGTGAGGGGGCCAGTCTGTGCACCCATCGAAGACCTTTCTGTGTGCAAAAAGTGCTGCAGGATTCAAAGGGTATGAGTGGAGGGAAGCACAGAGCCTAGGGCAGGAAGTAACCATGATTGGAATGGCTGTGGGCAGATCTCCATCCTCCTGGGAGGGCAGTTGTGCCTATTTTCTATTTAACTGTGATTTGTATGCAGAAACAGACCATTTCTCACAGCTGGCTGGCCTGCCTGCTGGGCAACTCACCTGCTTTGTCTGTTTTCAACCCATGAATCTTTTAATGAAAATGGCATTTACATAGAATAGGAAGCAATGTGAGACATGGAACACAATAGGAAGCAAAGCAAAAGAGATGAAAAATAAGTGCCAGCAATCCAGAAGTCCAGAGAATAAGCATTTAAAATCCCAGTGGTACCTTTTTTTCCTTTCCGAAATATTTGACTTTGTGATGTTGATTCGAACTTGGAGCGATGGAAGACCAGAGGGAAAAATAGAGTTGATAACTGCTCTCGGGGCAACTCTTTGGAAATTGATGTAATTACTTTACATGAAAAATGGCCTTAAAGTTCACTCATCATGGAAATACCCTTAAGCAGAAGCACAGAACTGTGGTCCTCTTTGTCTAGTTTCTTCTCTTGTAGAGAATTTAGTAGTAGATACTTAAAGAAAATGCAGGAGAAATTTTTCCATTTTCTTTACAGGTAAGTACTAAGGCATTGTCTGAATTGAAAGGTCCTGTCACTTTTGGAGTCCAAATAAATGAGAAATTTTTTTATATGAAATTGCCTTCCACAAATATACTTATTTTCTGAAGCTTCAATATGGGCGTTAATTTTGATGATGCGTCCAAACTAGGATATATACATTTATTTTTCATCTAAGAACAACATTAATTTTACTATTAATTTTCAATAATAATAATACATCTGCTTTTTAATACATTAATAATATAATCTGCTTTTACTTAATATTTTTGTAAAATATTAAACTATAGTTTGTGCATTTTTATTGTTACAAGCTAAATTTTTTCTCCATTGTACCTCTCTAACTCCATCCATTTGGATCATAACTGACAGCTATTATTCTTCAGTATTATCTTAGAATTTTATTTTCAGTTATGTCCTCCATGCTTCTGGGATGCAAGAGCTGTTTGACAGCTCAAACTACTCCAGAACAGTCAAGGAAATGGCAATGTATAATTCTTACATAAGGGAAAGAGTGCCATCTGCTGAATTACTAACTATGCTCTTGTGAAGACGGTTTCTTGATTTTGTGGGAAGCAATTGCTTATGCTTTACTCTGAGATAGTTTTCAACTGAGTATGGCTATTTTTATATTTGGAGAATTATTTATGGTATAACAATTGATTTGAAACTTTAAAGTCACAGAGGACTGTGTCATTCTATCAGCATTTTTTTTGACATTCAGAAATACTTCCATATTTTTCTAGATATTGTCTGTATTTGCCTGAATCTTGTCGTATCTGTATTTTTCCTCTATATTGCATGTAAAATACAATCTCAGCTTCACTTCTTTGTAAAACAAACAAACAAACTCTCCAAAAATGAGAACTCTACCATCCTGAGTTAATATTGTAGAATTGGAAGAACTTCCTTTATGGTATTAAAATTCACATCTTTACCAGTGAGCAGCCACCCAGGAAAAAAAGAAAAAGGGCATATTGGTCTTTCAGATTCTTCTCTTCAGAAGTATGAAAATTACAATCCAAGAACAGTTTAGGAAAAGCAATAATTCTTTTTCTTTACACCAACAGTTGCCCCGGAAGATCCTAGCAGAAAGGTAGATGGTGACACCATTATTTTCTCCCACGTGCAAGAAAGATCCAGTGCTGTCTATCAGTGCAATGCTTCTAATGAATATGGATACTTGCTAGCAAATGCATTTGTGAATGTTCTGGGTAAGAAACAGATTTTTTATTTGTCAGTTTTCTTAGTTATTTAGTTGTCTCCTGCTACTACACAGACACTGTGCTCAAGCCTTGCTTGAGGTCTTTAGTAAGAATCAATGTATTTCCTGACCCCTCTAAAAAGCAAGTGTATACATACCTGTTTTTTCTAGGGTATTCTTGAGTTTCACTTTCACTGTACCTGAGCAAGAAGGATAGTTGTGAAAGCTGGAGAAAACTTGGAAGAAATTTTCTCTCTCTTTTTTTTTTTTCTTGTTATGTAAATCAAGCAAATGGAAGTGTAACAAATAAGGCTGGAATTAGTATTCCTTAAGTTAGTATGTTTCAATACAGTTTCATTGAGTGTGGATATTTCACATCAGTTGAATAGATGAATCTCTAAATTACTGTTGCAAGGGGACATGATTATGCATTTGTCTTGAAGGCCTCCCAAGAATATGTTTCCGGTTACAAGATGTTGTGGCCTCTCTAATTCACACCGAATTTAACAAAGCTAGTAACAAAATTCTGGGCCTCTAACAACTCTCCTGCAGGAACTGGCAGATCTGTTGATTGAGACACTGTCTTTTCAAAGAAACAAAATGTAGGCATTGCACCAAAAATATATCCTAGTTTCTTTCTACCTGCAGCTTTGTTTGGATTATATAGTTCACTCTATTCCCAGGAGATTATCTTCTTGAAGTCTTTACTGATTTAAATTTTCCAATTTTAATCATTGCCTTTACTACCCACCACTGTGACTTGTAAACAGGCAAGAAACATTTGTTTTTCACAAGATAATTCCCCTTTTTTAGCTTCTCCTCAGGCTACTGCCAGTAGAATATATTTGGATCTTGACTGAGACCAGAAGTCACTTCAGAGAAGGATGTTCTTTAGGCCAGTCTTGATGTCTTTGGATTTTGTATTCGTATCTTTGTATCTATATCCAGATATCTTTGTCTTTTCAGCTGAGCCACCGAGAATTCTAACTCCTGCTAATAAACTGTATCAAGTCATCGCAGATAGTCCTGCATTGCTAGACTGTGCTTATTTTGGGTCACCTAAGCCTGAAATTGAGTGGTAAGCTGTAGCTATGCTTGAGATGTGGAAAATGAGTTGTTCATATCTATGGAGACAAACACTTGAAGCTTTAAAACTATTTAAACTCTATTTACAATTTTAAAATAGTGTATTTTAAAATACATGCTGATTACAGTTCGCTAATACAATATTACATATACTTAATGTAATAGCAGTTAAGTTATCCCCACAGAGTCAAGTTTAAATTTCTTTATGTGTATTTTCTAACGTGGCAGTCCTAAGTTTGCATTTTCTGATAATAAAATACTATATAATTCAACTTTGACGCTGGATAATGATATTACTTTTTACATAAAGGTTTAAGGGAGTGAAAGGTAGCATCTTGCGTGGAAATGAATACGTTTTCCATGATAACGGAACCTTGGAAATTCCGGTGGCTCAGAAAGATAGTACTGGTACATACACATGTGTAGCAAGGAATGAATTAGGAAAGATACAAAATGAGGTGCACTTGGAAATTAAAGGTAAGAAATTAATCATTCGTTCATCACTGATTAGTACAGAATTTCAGACTTTCTGAATATCTAATATTAATTCTGAATTTCAGATCCAACAATGATAATTAAACAGCCAGAATACAAAGTGGTTCAGAGATATGGCCAAGTTTCATTTGAGTGTATAATAAAACATGATTCTACCTTACTACCAACAGTTATATGGTTGAAGGACAATGATGAACTTCCAGATGATGAAAGGTATGGACCAAATAGTTTTCCTTTATTTTTTATTTTCTAGGTCCTTTTGTCTGCTTCTTTTTCTGATCTCTGAATGGAACATATTGACCTATTGACATTTTCCAAGGAAGACTGATAAATATCATAACTATTCCATATTTGCTGACTCAAGGACTTACCTAGTGTGATGAAAATATTAAGATAGAATTAAAAATAAAATGAGATGTAATCATTTATAAAAATGTGCACACTGTCCATGTATATTAAGTGTAAGGAGAAGAGAATTGATATAAGAAGTCAAAACAGATAATGGAAGACTATTTTGCTCTAGATCACATATATTTAAAAGTTGTTTGAGTATATTTGGAAAGAAAAGCACATCAGGATAGACAGTTACTGTGGGAAAATGGTCAAGAGCAATGTAGAAAATGAAAGGTTACATTGTCCCTTAGCTTACCTTGCTGTTTAGGTGTGTGCTGCAGTACACACATACGGGATCAGATAATGTCTTATGCAAGTTTATTATAACACTGCCAGTTATTGAAAAATCAGTGGCTGAATCTATTGTATTTACAGGTTTCTAGTTGGTAAAGACAACTTGACCATTATGAATGTAACTGATAAAGATGATGGAACATACACTTGCATAGTTAATACTACTCTGGACAGTGTTTCAGCAAGTGCTGTGCTTACTGTTGTTGGTAAGAATACTCTCAAACTTTATGATAGCAGAACTGTGTTTAATTACTGTTAAGTATTAAAAGCAGCATTAGATTTAAAGTGAAAAGCGCATAGTTTTGATTTCTAGGGCAAAGGAAATGCCACCTATGTGTAAATGTGTTTCAGCTTTTAAAAAATGTATTCTTACCCTAAAGTTTGCCTTTGAATCAGCTATTTACAAAAGGGTCCAGTAATTGCAGGGCACATTTGCTTTAGCACTGTGTAGGTTTTTATTTTGACCACATTTTAGCTAGCAGAGTATTTGTTCATAAACATATAAGAATCGCAGAATGGTTTGGGTTGGAAGGGACCTTAAAGATCATCTAGTTCCAACAGCCCTGCCTTGCACAGGGACACCTTCCACAGAACCTCTCTGGGCAACCTGTTCCAGTGTCTCACCACGCTCACAGGAAAAAATTCTTACTAATACCTAATCTAAACCCACTCTCCTTCAGCTAGGGAGCTGTCCTGTTGCTATAGGCCTGTTGTCCTGTTGCTATAGGCCCTTGTGCAAAGTCCCTCTCCAGCCCTCTTGTAGCCCCCTTTACATACTGGGAGTCTGCCTTCTTTTCTCCAGGCTGAACAGCCCCAACTCTCTCAGCCTGCTTTCATGGGAGAGGTGCTCCAGCCCATGATCAACTTAGTGTCTCCCCTCTGGACTCATTCCAACAGCTCCATGTCTTTCTTGAATTGGGAGCATGTTATCTCAGAAATCTTTCACAACTAAATTATAGTTCAGAAGGACTAAGCATACTTGGTTGTATGACTTCCCAAGGATTTCATTTTTACCTTAGTTCTCTGTTAAGTTTTTAAGATTTGAGATTATTGCAGAATATATTACTTTGCACCTTCTCCAATTTGTAAGAAAGTTTTAAGTAGATGTGCTGAACGATTCTTACCTGAGTTCAAGCTGAGACTCAAAGTCAAGTATGTTTGTGTTTTAAATTTCTTCTGTGATCTTATACCTATCCAGGAATGATCTAAGCCAAGCAACTAGTACTTATTTAAAAGTTTTTATAAGATAGCTTATTTATTTATTTTTTTATCTACCCTTCTTTAAAAAATGAATAAAACATTCAAGAATAGTTTTATAGCTTTTCAGTAAAAAATTATCAATGTATTATTTTAAAATAACCATTTATCTAAATAATTTAACTTTTCTTTGTCTCTAATAACTATAGTCTTTAACTGCCTACAGTATTCTGTTTCTTTGGCTACTAACTGATTAAATCCTTTATATTAATGTCCTTTTCAGCTGCTCCCCCAACTCCAGCTATCATTTACGGTAAACTAATACAAAGTTCTCTATCTACATCATCTGACAGATATATTTCTGATTTGCCTACTGCGAAGTGCAACATTTTTTTTCCCCCTTTTCCTCTGTGTGTGTCTGTGTCTGCTTGTGTGGTTTCATCCCATTTTACCAACTGCTTCATTACTAGAGTACTGGACTTTGGAATTTTACAGTGCAGGTTGCTTTGTATTTTAGGGAATAAGTGGTTTTCAGATAGAAATTATTTATAATTAAAGTTGGTTATAGTATGACAATGTTTTTCTCATGGGTAAATCCACTCATAAGATGAATATGACCATATTGACCACTTTGTCTTACAATCGATGAAATTGCTAAGATTTTAAAAATAAAGTTGAAATTAAAAAAAAAAAAATCTGTCAGTCAGATACAGTCTTGAATTTGATGGTATAAAGCCTTTAATTTTATAGCATGTTTTCTGAATTTAAGTTTTCAAGTGCAAATGCTAAAACACTTCAAGGTATAAGGGTCATAAGCACTTTTATGTAAATCTTATCACATTCAATGAAAATGCTTATGTATTCTTAAATGAACCTACTCATTAGTCTTGATTTTTGTGTAAAAAATCGTATAATGAATTACCTTCGGGAATTTGGAATGGACAGTTACATCTTTATGCATTATAAGGATGCATAGTAACAGATTGCATGGTATGTCTGGACTTTTAAAAGAACAGCAAAAGATAAATGAGTCAGTAACTTGCAATTAGTTTCTGTTTGAATTATTCTTGATTGAATTCACACAAAAAATGTTTGTAGTGCTTCTAGAAAAGCTTCTTTGATGTGAATACTTCTTTATTTTCCATGTTTCGTTAGATATTTCTACTACCCTAGGTAACCACCCATAATCATTCAAAGATAAACTAAACATGCATTTCACAATTCCTTGCATCTCATCACATTTTTATCAAAGTGCACTCAGACATAGGTAAAAATAAATACAGATTCTTGTTAATGTATAGAAGTTTTCAGGTTACATCAGTTCTCCCTTTTTCATTTGTTTTCTAACAATTGCATGCTAATGGTCATTAAGTCCCACTTACATAAGTGAGTAGATATGCACTGCTGTATTTGTGGAATTCTTTTGATTGGACTGTAAGGATTTTTTTAAAATATAAAACTACATATTCTGACGTGATTATTTACTTTGTGTCCATTTGATTTATAGCTCGGCCAAATCCACCCTTTGACTTGGAATTGACAGGTCAGCTAGAAAGAAGCATTGAACTTTCATGGATACCAGGAGATGAAAACAACAGTCCCATTACACGTATGTTTGTTTGTATCTACTATACTACATTGACAGCATTATCTTAACTGTTTTCAAATTCCAAAGATTTCTGAGATAAATTTTGTGCGAAGCATGGAAAATGTTAAATGAATTCTCTGCAGCTGCCATTTAATTACATTACAAAAAGTCACTAAATATCCTCTACTGTACAGCCAAGCAGAAAGACTTATTTACTGCCCAAAAGAGCTGGGCCTTTTTATTCAAAAAACCTGTGCTAAATAACATAGAAGTTAATGCATATATGAGGTCTGTCTGACAAGGTCCAGTCTCATGAATATGTAGAGAGTAGACTTTTTTTATTGGTTGTGTGCCCTTGAAGGAGAGAGCTACTACCATCTTGCATTAACTCCTTTGTAATTCCTGGGAATTTGAAATAGCATCAGTACCACTATCTTTAGGGATTATCCATCACTACTAAAATAGAAGCTTATTCTACATGAAAATATAAGACAGATAGTTTTTCTCTTTTTCTTTCTTTTTCTAGTCCAGACAGTTAAAAGAGTAAAGCATGTCCATGCAACAGAAAAATAAATGTCTATAAATTTTTGAGACAGAAATTGATCTTAAATGCTGTTACTCTCCCCAGTAAAACATGATGAAAGACGTTCTTGCTTACACTGTGCAGAGAGGATGGAGGGGGAATTTAGGAGGAAGGAACAAAGATATTACTGTTTGTTTTCCAAAGAATCATATGATCAGAAAGATTTGTTGGGGTAACTTTTTCCGCCTTAGGAACTTAATGCAATTATTTATTTGTGCAGTGTCTTTTTAGATAGTAACTGCCACAAGTTACCAAGACCAGTGTACATGTTATGTTTGATATGAGTTAGTTAGGCTGATTTACTGGGTGTCACTCTGCAACATCTGATGTTAGTCGTTATCAACACAGAACACAAACCATTAGGATCAGGTATCTGTAAAGGAAGTTTTATAAAAAAACAGAATTTCACAAATTTCAGAGCACATCAAAGATTTTGACTGCATTTTAATGAAACACCAAGTGATTTTGCTGAAATTTTACACTCTCAGACTTCTCTAATGTATATCAACTAGTAATACACTTTAAAAAATATATAGAAGATTAATGTAAATAGTTGAATTTTATTTAAGTTATGGTTTATTCATATGCTCTTTTATTAGTATTTTCATTTTATTTCTAGACCAGAATACACAAGTCTTGTCTTTCTGTAGGAATGAGATCACAGTATATGAAAAAAGATAATACTAAGAGGTGTTGGCTTGTGTAAGTTTTTCTAGAGTGAGATATTGCATGCACTCTGATATCAGAAACTGAGCTCCTCTGACTAAATAATGCTGGTTTTAATTATAATGCAATTTATATTGCTGCATGGTCCCCTTAGAGCCTGAAAAGTAAGGCATTTGCTTCCTGAGTAAGCCTATTTTTCCTGCTGCTGCTATCACTTCAAAGTGCAGATCAGGACTCAAGGATAGCACTTCATTACCAGTGATCCCTTTATACAAGTAATATGATTGACATGGTAGAATCTTTCTGAAAGCTCAGATAGATTTTTTTCCCTTGAAGTTGCCTATAAATTGTTCTACTAGAGTTGCAGACAGAATGCTAATTACTAGGGAAGCAAATAGCAGTAATGAAAACTTTTTTAGCATGTAATATTCTCACCTTTTCAGCACCTTCTTTGGTTCAGAAGACCTCCCATCCCAAACCCTTTATTGCTGAGCACACACCACCAGCAGTAATTCAGACAGTAATTTGGAGTCAGTTCTTTTTCGTTCTTACTACTTAGGCCAGAAGGAAATCTGCTAGCCCTAAGTCCCGAAGGTTATGATTAGTACTAGTTATCTATTTTACGTCTTGGCTCCTCAAACTCTTGCGCATTATTTCTATGTGGTGCTGTAAGTATCCTTCTAAAAGAAATTTCTGGATGCCCCTCAGAATTTCTTAGTAGTGCAAACAGGATGTATTCTGAATCATACTCTGTCTTCTTCTCCCCACCTATACATGAGATAGGGAATGATTCTTGTTACACAACACACAAATTTTTGATACTTATGTAAATTTCATATATCTAAACTTAAAGTTCCATAGAATGTACTCAGACTGTGCATTCTTATCCCTTTTATTTACTGTGTCCTAACAATTCCTCCTAAGTCTTTCATAATTCGTATCTCATACCTTAGAGCAGTAAGGTTTTTTGGGTGTTTCACAGCTGGAAAAATACAACCTTTTGTCTTTGATAATGAATGTGATTTTCTTTTTGGAACTCTACAAGCCTATTTATCCCTGAGGTTATATACTTTGTAGGGTCTTAATAGTAATCATTGTAATGTTCTCACAGAAAACTCAAGAAACTGTTTCTGAACATACATTCCCAGACTTAATTTGAAGATACTGAAAAGTGCTCTCAAAAACCATCTAAAGTATTGATTCTTGGCTTTAAATAGTTCTTCATTAAACCAACTTCATTGGGGAAAATGGAATATTCAGAGTTTTAATTTTGTACAGGTACTAGATGCTGTCTGCTTGATACAACTAGGAACAATATATTTGACAGCCAAATTTCCATCAAAGTTCCAATCTTGTCCCTCTTTCGTGCTGTGATAGTTCAAGGGTTCCCATTAAATTAAAATTTGGTACTAGAGAGAGAGCTCTTGTAATAACATGTTACCTGAAAGGTACCTGCATTGGTGAGAATACCAAAAGATAAAAGTGAGGGTGTATTTACTATATTTCTACCTAAGCAGTGCTGTGCCTTTTGCAACTGGACGTGCCTGTCTTGTTTTGGCCTTTTTAGCCACCAGCGCGCTTGTAACAGAGGTGGGTAGAGCCCTCCTCAAATCTTCGTTCGCGAAGCCCAGCCATGATGACCTAAGCAGTACTTCTGGTATTATAGATCTGTGTTATGGTTTATGTATTTATTTCCAGTTTCACAATATTTAAAAGCATTGATTAGAGCACTCCCTTCTGATTAGCTCATTCAGAAATGCCTACCCTGGTCTAGGAAGGTGTTGCAAGTTTTGACATAAAGTTGGATTCAATTTCTGTTTGTAGACTTTGTAATTGAGTATGAAGATGGGCTGCATGAACCAGGAGTATGGCATTACCAGACGGAAGTTCCTGGAACTCAGACAACAGTACAGTTGAAGTTGTCTCCGTACGTCAACTACTCATTCCGTGTGGTAGCTGTCAATAAGATTGGCAGAAGTCAGCCCAGTGAACCATCTGAGCAGTACCTGACAAAATCTGCAAGTAAATAAGTATTTCTTCTTACCAGTAATTGATTTCTACTATGAATAGCATTGAATTTGCTTGTAATCAAACAGCAGTCATTCTTGTTCACGTGTAAATATTTTATTTTTAGGCCCTGATGAAAATCCTGCTAATGTGCAAGGGATAGGCTCAGAACCCGATAATTTGGTAATAACATGGGAGGTAAGTTGGATCTCTTTTTGAGGTTTCATTTGTTTTCAGGTCTGTTTTCAGTAGCATTTTTTGAGAAATAATGATGAGAATACCCTATACATTGCTCAGTTAAAATATTCTTGAAGAAGAGTTAAATTCAGATATTTCCCTGTCTTCATTACCAGGAAAAAGCGGAGTGCTTTTTGAGAAAAAGCAAATTAGTTAAGGGGCCATATTTTCCTGAGTGATTTCTCAAGATAAGCCAATAATTAGGTAATACAGGATGTTTTGCTGCCAGTTTAGGAAAACTTAAAGATGTAAATTGAGGTTTGTCTCAAGTAGAGTCTTATTTTTAGAATAATTTTTAATGTGAATCCTACTTGTACTGTCATCTTTTGTGATGAACTAAATCATTATGCACTTTCACAGTAAAAAACTTCAATCAAAGTTTTCTCTGTCGTGCCTTTACCGTCATGACGGGAACTCAAGCAGAGCCATATAAACCCAGTTTCCCATCCCAGGCAAGAAACATTGTCTAGGGAACACTGTTTATAGGGAGTCAGTGTAAGTCTGCTTTTTCCTCTTCCACTTCTAAAGAAATATTTGAAATCAAAACGTATATACAGAAATCGCAATGTCTTGTTGAGTGAGAATTAGCCACCATTACCATTCAGTGTGATTTTTATTAAATAGTGAAAAGCAACTGAAGTGACCTCTGGTAAAAGCTAAATTGCATAACTTGGAAATTTCAGTAGCGATTCTTTGTCACAGAACACAGTGGTAAATTTTCGGTGAAATTCTAAAGAAAAAATCAATATATTTCCTTTTTGACTTTGGATTTTTCAGATGCTTCAGAATATTTAAAAAGATGTTTCTTTTCATTTCAGTCTTTAAAAGGTTTTCAGTCCAATGGACCAGGACTTCAGTACAAAGTCAGTTGGCGCCAGAAGGATGTTGATGATGAATGGACATCTGTTATAGTTGCAAATGTATCTAAATATATTGTGTCTGGTACACCAACTTTTGTTCCCTATGAAATAAAAGTACAAGCTTTAAATGACCTGGGATATGCACCAGAGCCATCAGAGGTGATTGGACATTCAGGGGAAGACTGTAAGTTTTGTGGTTTGACTCAGTTATACTAATATAAAGGAACTAAATGTGTAACCTAAATGGGTATTTAACATACTGAAATACTGATAAGGGAATAGTGGTTATTATTTTAATTAAAAGGAAGTAATTTGGAGATAATAAGGCTTCATAATACTCTGTATTATTAATCCTGAAAACATAGGAACATTTTAATCTATTCCTTGAGTACAATACAAAGACTCAGTTCGAAAAAGTATGTTCGTGTGGTTTCTCATTCTAATTGGGTGCTTGTTGCATCCTTTCCACACAGTGCCGATGGTTGCTCCAGGCAATGTGCAGGTTCATGTTATTAACAGCACATTAGCAAAGGTGCATTGGGACCCAGTTCCACTAAAAACTGTCCGAGGACACCTCCAAGGGTACAAAGTAAGTACAGTCTAAAGCATTCTCTTTTTCATTTGTTAAAATAGAACACTCTTCCTATATGAGATTGTATTCAGATTGAAGTACCTGATATATAAGAGGACTCTTCAGTGAGCTCCAAGTTTTGCTGATAAGAGCAACAGCTTTGATACAATTCATATATAGTTCAGCAATGTTCCAGCCTTGTAGCGCTAGGTGCCTGTGGCATTGTCCTTGGAAGAAAACAGGATGCGTTTGCAATCAAGTTTGCATACATTAAACCGATAAAAAAATGATAACAGTTTTGCAGATCTTATTCAAAAATAATATTTAGAGGATGTGAAAAAATCATTTCTGTAGGAATCTCTTCTAGGTCTAATGCTAAGGTTACTCATCTTCTGCCACAGTACCCTTAATCACATCTTTAATTCTGAGTAACTGGCCACTTCCTAATATGTGCTGGGTTCTGTGTCTTTTTGGAGGCCAGGAAAAAGTTCAGTATAAAAGCTTAATTTAAGGACATAGGAAATGGCAGAAGAGTTGAAGTGCCCATAAAATTGAAGGAAGCTTATTGTAAGGTAGTGTGCTCCCTTTGGTGATAACTGAAAAGGCTATGTTGGAGACAAAAGACTGCAATATATATAACAGAATTAATATATAATTACAGAGTGCAATATATTCATAGAGGATGGGAGACAGAAGGACTTCAAGATTAGATACTGGGGGAACTGGTATCCCTGGGGGATAAAGAAAATCTGATGGCAAAAGTTGCTTCAGAGGTTGCACTAGAATCCCTTCAGAAGAAACTCAGGGGTGCAATCTGAAGCAGCAGGGTAGAATGATTGTGGAGGGAAGAGTGGAATGTGAGGATATACTGACTTCCTATGCAGCAATAGAAGAAAATAAAAAATAATATACTTCTTTGCAAGTATTCTGAGAAGTATGTTCTAACAAAACAGACTACTGACACAGCCTGAACTAGGTTACTTTGTAAGACAGACTAATTTGAACTACTTCTCTTTAAATGAAAGGAGGTAAAAGAAGCATTTGAAAAATTAAAAGAGGAAAGAGAATTTGGAAGAGAATAAATGTCTATCATACTTATAAAATTGAGGACTAGCGTGCAAAAGCATTGAAACTGAACTTCAGTGCTCTTCAGCTGTTTACCACGTGAATGTGAATTCCTGGTATGTGAATATCACTTCCCTGGCACAAAATACCACCATCCAGAGAGACTTAAGCTAGTTCTGTATGAGCTGGCATAAGTGTTTGTAGTTAGTGTGGTGCTTTGCACACTAGCTCACTAACTCAGCTGAGAAACAGGACTTTATTAGCCTCTTAAATGTTTATCTGTTAGACAACAGTTTATATAAACCTGTTGTTTCACACACAAATGGGTGACCAAAAGTAAAGGTCCATTATGTGAGGATTAATGAGTTAGAATTAAGTGAAATTAGTGCTTATTATTAATCCAGTAATCCAAAGCACCAAATTTCTATTAAAGATCTATAACAGTACAAAAAAATTCTATAGACATGTGCATCTGCCCATACATCAGGTGCTTAGTTCTCACCCTTCAACAGCGTGGTTACGGTGAGTTGTCATCATACAAAGTTTAGGCAGAGATTTCTTTTTCCTCAGACTTGCAGTATCTGATAGTTATCTTCTGTCCTGTCATTACTAATGGGTTATACACTTCCGAGTTTATCTAAGGGATTAGTCATGGTATGATTACTTCTCTTTAGTGTCTTATATATATATATACACATATATATATACTCTATATACAGTATCATTTGTTATTGTGAGGAGGAGAACCACACAATTACACAAAGCTAAGCAAAATTGAAGTTAAAATAAGTTACTTGATAATCATGAATAAAATAATCTCAGAACAACAGGATTGACAACAAATCTGACCACTGAGTGGTTTTGCTGTTCTCCCTAGGACAAATGTGACAATGGTATAGCCTTGAATAAGCTGCAGATGCAGCAAGAGTTTCTTAAATAATTTTTGCAGATACAGCTAAATCAAGCTAAAATAGGTTAAAAACCAGGCAAGGCATGAGAAGTCCTAAGACCTGGTGGATGGTTATTGTTATAAAGCTTTCTCTGAATGCAAAATGAATACTTTTCATGGATGCATAGTATGTTTTAAGTCTCTCTTTATATTGACATAGCTTACAAAGCACACAGTTAGCTTTTTTTAAACAAGGGAGCAAAATCCAGCTAGCATACTCAGGCTTTCCTAATTAATAAAATTATTTCAGTCAGTAGCCCAATATACAGTGTTTCATTAGGGACAGATTTGTTAATAAAGAGAGGGGTGCTTCTCTAAAGAGTCATGTGATGAAGACAAATTTATGAACAAAGCAGGAAGACATATAAATAAGCAGCAGTCTACAGCACATCATTCATATTTTTGATCTTGTATTAATCTAGCTATTACTCAATGGTACTATAAAGCTTTTCAAACCTAAGAAGAAAATAAACAATTATGTATTTGGAGGTGACAATCCTAGGAGTAACACAAGTCTTTGTAGGGGCAACTATTAATATCTTTTGAACTATCATGGTAGAGATACTATGTAGTAAAGAGAATGCAGTCAGAGTACCTCTGAGGCTCATCTGTAGTTTCTTAGAAACTCAATCAGCAGAATGGACATCAGAATCAGCTTTACGGTCTGATCAAATTGTCACATAAATGGAGGAATAGTCTTCTATCCCTGTATGGAAACCATTCCAATACTGTAACCTCAGAGTCATTTCAGAATTTGTGTGTTTTTTCCAGCCAAATCTTTTGGTTTCTTTCCCATTTAATGACATGTACTTGTAGACATCTTACTGGAAGAATAGATGGTATGGGTGATTTCTGCCTCTCAGATAGTCTTGCTAACAGGAGAATAATCACATACCAATGCAGTTTCAGACCAGAACTTGTGTCAGATTGTCTTTAAGCATTAGCAGAACTGGCAGGTGGTAGTCTTCTCCCAGTTGTGTCGTTGTGTAGACTGTTTCTGGACAAGGTCTGTTTCTGGAGCAGGAAAGCTCTATACTGTGTCTCACCTGAGCTTATTAAAACTGCTGTTATTCCTATCTATAATTCATGAACACTCATGGAAAAGCTTAGAGTTTTTAAAATCATAGCACCTAAGCACTCACTGTAGATTTTTTTTTTGTCTTTAGGTTTACTACTGGAAAGTGCAGAGTCTATCCAGAAGGAGTAGGCGGCATGTAGAAAAAAAGATCTTGACTTTCAGGGGAAACAAGACTTTTGGAATGTTACCAGGGCTGGAGCCCTATAGTTCTTACAAGCTGAATGTTAGAGTTGTTAATGGTAAAGGAGAAGGACCAGCAAGCCCAGACAAAGTATTTAAGACCCCTGAAGGAGGTATGAAATGAGAAAGCTAGAGAATAAACTGAAACATAAGCTTGGACATCATAAAATAATAATCTGTCTCAATACAGTAATATTATTAAGAGTTAATTATTCATGACCTGTTTAAAGTTAATCTACTTTGTATTTACTGTATGTTCTTCTTAAAAGTTCCTAGCTCACCCTCCTATTTGAAGATTACTAACCCAACATTGGACTCTCTGACTCTGGAGTGGGGTTCACCTACCCATCCAAATGGTGTTTTGACATCATATATACTGAAGTTTCAGCCAAGTAAGTTACTTATGAATATATTATGGGGGTTGGACCTGGGTGATCTTTAAGGTCCTTTCCAACCCAAACCATTCTGTGATATAACTCTAACTTAGGTGATACATCTACCAAATAGTAATCCGTTTATGAAGAAAAAATTATGTTAATATAATAAATTATGTTAATATATAATGTAAAAAAGATATGATTGCATTGTAGATGTCAAGTTTGAAAAAAATTATTATATTTTGATAATATAGGTAGTTTTATTTGGAAAACTTTCCTTACTCAAGTACAAGGTTAGCATTTTTCTTTTATTTCTTCAAATCATACTTCACAGAAAAATGGAGGTGAAGTCCTACATACAAGTGGCATCCAAGTTAGACGCAAGATACTACCACTTACAAATTCTGTATTCTAACTGCACAGAAATTATCATCAGAAACAGATCAAAAGACATCCAAATACATTGTCTTCTGTTGTTTCAGTTGTCATGGTATTGTAATTTCAAAATGCAAAACTAATAAATGTGCCATTTACTAATATCAGAGCTATTAAATCACTTCTTTAGGATCCCTGCTGCTTACTTAACCCAGAAATTTGTCGGCAGTGACAGTGGAAATTGAAGAGTTTTGTGTGCATGGAACAGATTAAGGAAGTTTACTTTCTTCCACTTACCAAATTCCACTATTCTTTGGTGTTTGACACAAGTCACTTCAATATTTTCTTCTTCTAAGGATACTGAATTTAGAGTTTCAGAATTCTTTAATGGTCAGTGTTTCAACTCTGTGTAAGTTCAGATGATCTGATGTGAACTCAGTTGCCTTGGATTTAGATATTTATGAGAATGGAACTTTAAAAACTGGCATGTTTTTTAAGTGCCTGTTAATTTCCCTGTTAATTATCTCCCTGTTAATTTTGGCCCCTTGAACTGATCCTTTTTACACAAAGGAGACTCTTTACATATGCAAACCAAAAAAAGCCTTTTTTAACACAACGACAGTATACGCAACTTTCCTAACTTTTTTTTTTCTTTTTCTGGTAACAACAGTCAACAACACACATGAATTGGGTCCCTTGGTAGAGATAAGAATTCCTGCCAACGAGAGCAGCTTGATATTAAAAAATTTAAATTACAGCACACGGTACAAGTTTTACTTTAACGCACAAACTTCAGTTGGATCAGGAAGTCAGATAACTGAGGAAGCAGTAACAATTATGGATGAAGGTAAGATGGGTATGTATAAGGAAAATCCATTGTTTAAAAAAACATTACAGATTGTATTAAAAATACTGCTATTACTTCTTTTCACTAAGGAAATAGGCCCTACTGATTTTTTTCCTAGAGCTTTCTTAACTGTATTATGCACTAATAAAATATGTTAAATGGTTTTTAAGAAAATACATGCAAAGGTTTTGTACTGAAGTGGAAGCCCCAAAAGAGCTGTAAAGCCCCTTCTTTTGATATAAGCTCACAAGCTCTAAGACATTCACTTTTCTGGGCTTCAAATTCCACATAACTTTACATTTTTTGTGGTCTTTGTCTATTCACCTGTTCTGCTTCATTGACCATCTTTGGTCACAGAGAAAAATACAGAAATGATCCAGCTTTATAACTAGAGGAAGTTTTTTGGCTTTTGAGATATGCAACAACTTCTGTGGAGTCTAAATTTTTTTCACAGAGCTGGCAAAAAACTGTAAAGCTGTTGCAATAAACTTGTCTTCTATGGCCTCAAGTAACTGGTGGCATTGTATAGTATTTAAAAACTACCAAGTATATTGTTAAATCCCATCACTATTGATTTTTATATTTACAGGCATTCTAGAGCTTTGATTTTGGCAGGTTTTTTTGTTGAAGTTGTTTAATTAAATATGAAAGCTTAATAAAATAAAAGTAATTTAAAGCCGCTGGGAAATTTGCACGGAATTTTTTTATTATTTTGCTCATCTTAATATAAAAAGTCTATTTCGGTAGCATCTTTTTACATATTTTTATGCTTAGTTAAAGATATCATTTGTTGTCATAGATGAGTTGGTATGCAATGCAATTTCTCTGATACTGTGTATTAAGGTTACATTAAACTGCATTTATTTTAAATATGGAATCTTAACAAGCATGAGCAATAAAATTTTGTAAATGCATGTATATTAATTTTTGTCATGTAGCAGTCTGTCAGTGTTTAGCTTCTAATTTATTTGAATTAATACATTTTATCTAGTCTGCATGGTTTTTATATATGTATGTTCCCTTTGGTGTTGTATCTAATTATATAGTGTTCCTATTCTTGTTTTCCTCCATTAAAGCTGGTATTCTCCATCCTGCTGTAGTTGCAGGCAAAGGTAAAATGAAACTGCATGATATATTAATGTGTGGATTTTGCAGTGTTGCAAATGGGGAAATTGCAGTGGTAAGGACAGAAAATCTCAGACTACGGATTTTTATACAAAGTATAATCAGTGCTGGAAGAAAAGAGTTGTGGGGTTTTCTTGTTTGGGTTTCTTGGGGTTTTTTAAGGAACACAGAATGCTTATTAATACCTTTCATCTGTTTGTTTTACCACAGAGTTCCAGGGGAATTCATTAGCTTTGCTTCAGCAAAATCTAATTATTTCTGAACATTAAACAAATGTATGTCACTGTCATAAATATTCAGGGTCCAGGTGCACTAGCATTGATTAGCCAGAGTAGAAAAAACAGCACTTTTGCAAAGGAGATCCTTTTGCTGCTTGTGCCATGTGCATTTTTTTGTTTTAAAAAGTAGGTTCATTCTTGTTGTCACTGTGGATTAATGCTATTATTTGATCACATTTATGTCATTTGCTAGCCAACTCTGCATAAGAGACAGATGACTGACAATACTCTCTGTATACTTCTCAGTTCAGGTGTCAGATTGGTGGGGGTTGGTCTCTATTCCCAGGCAACTATCAGCAAGAAAAGAGGGCATGGTCTCAAGTTGTGCCCGGGGAGGTTTAGGTTAGATATTAGAAAGAATTTCTTTACAGAGAAGGTGATCAGACATTGGAATGGGCTGCCCAGGGAAGTGGTGGATTCTCCGTCCCTGGAGATTTTTAAAAAGAGACTGGATGTGACACTTAGTGCCATGGTCTAGCAACCACAGTGGTAGTGGATCAAGGGTTGGACTTGATGATCTCGGAGGTCTCTTCCAACCCAGCTGATTCTATGATTCTATGATTCTATGATTGAATATACAGACAAATGTCTTCCTGCTGTTTTAGATTCACAGATCTTGTGAGTGAGTACTTGAGGACATTTCAGTGAGTGGAACCTATTATCATCCTTCTTCTTGAATTCAATAATATTTAGTTCTTTATTATGCAGTTTTGCACACAGTTTTTATGAATTGTGCTACCTTTGCTGTCAGAAGCAACGGTTGTCCTGAGAACTGTAAGGTAGCTCAAAGTCAGAAACATGTCTCTAAACATATGTGTCATTTAATCACAGGTCTCATTAACACTAATGCTTCAAATTCCCAGACTGTAAACATCCCAAATCAAAATCTGTACATGAAATACCCAACATTTTTTTACAAACTGGGAAGAGACAGCATAAATTGTTTTACCTATAGTTTCTTTTCACTTGATTATCAGGTGTTGTGAATGATAACAGCCATAAGAAAGAAATTCATTCTTTCAGTCTGGTATAAATCAGACTATATATATGTGTGTGTATGCCTGTATTTGTGCATATATAATTAATATATATTTTAATATGTACATATAAGTGTATTCTAATATCAGCTGTGTTTCTGATAAGTGTGTGGAGTTGTGGAATTATTTTAATGACATATCTTCCTTGCTATTTTAGTCTAGTTGTAGCTGAGAAGTCAGCTCAGATTGGAACAATCAAACTGGCTTTAGTCGTGGACATTCACAGCAGAAATGTAAATTAGGTTCTCATTATTTATAGCTGACTCTAAAAACTCATACAAGGAAAAATGGATTCTCTGTGTGAAACTGAGGTCTAATTATAGCTGTATCACAGTCTGTGGCTAGGAGAAAGCATCTTACTTGTAAGATAAGCTGGAGCAGCTCATATTTCAGAGCTGTCGCCTCAGATCCTCTGAAAACTAAGCAGATGTCTTTGTTTGGTTCCATGTTGTTTATGGTTTCAAAGTTCTCCCATATTCCTGTAGCATCTAGCTCCAACAATTACAAAGAAAACGTTGGAACTGCAAACGGAACAGAACTAAAGCCATGACATCTGTTAGGACATCTGAGTTGCTGGAGGTCTCAGATTAATGTTCTCAGTGGTTACTTATGTTAACATATTAACTGTTTTGCTACTGATCAGGGACCAGAGTAAGAAAGAGGAGGATCATAGTATCAAGATCAAGTGTCAAATTATTTGGTCTCGTGAGTGGGTGGATTTGGAAGACAGAAATGCTCAGCCCACTCAAGAAGAAGCTGTACCCAGAAGTGAACTTTTCTTCCTCTGTTAAGTGCAGGAGGGCCTATACGTCTGTACAGTTCTTACTAATTTGGATGCAAAGCCAAACCAAGGAGAAGGTGAAATTTAGATATTCTGAACCTTTTCATGATCTATCAAAAATATCTCAAGATTTTGATTTTTTACTAGGAAAATTTAAGTATGCTTTTTATTTCAATGTGAGCACATTTATCTTGGAAGTTAACAAGACAGTAGGTCCCAGCTTCAGCCAGACCAAATTGCACTGAAATTTCTGCACTTGGTGTTTCCTACTGGATAGCTGCCCCTGAAGACATGCAGCTTGGCCAGTCACAAACATTAGGCACAATGTCCTAGAGGAATTAAAATAATTTAAACCTGAGTGAGCTGTGCCACTTGGGACATATTTCACTTCTCAGAGTAAAACTATATATTAAAGTGCAGGGGAAAATATTGCTACAGTAAATCTAAGGATCTTAATAGTCTCACTACTTTTATTGTCACAAGTGCACGTGAGTAAATCATGAGACACGTTATTTAGCTAGATGGAAAGCTATCCTGTTTGACTTGCACTGTTGTTTTTCCTTTATGATACTGTAGTGTTATTAATTACTTAAATTTGATCAAATTATGGTACTACAAAAAAAAATAATTTTTTTCTTAATAATCTGTATTCTAAATGTGTCTTAAAACTTCATATGTAAAACATAATATATTATACCCAGTACTAGATACTCAGTATGCATTGGTATTGCTATTTATGTATTGGCAACTAACCACAGGCATGAGGTATGAAAAAATTGGAGAATAACCCAATTACATATAAAATAAGTATAGTAGCAGCTGGAAAGTGACTCAGGTGATCACTGGAGTCAAGTCTTTTCTGCCCTTTTCCATTAGGAGTTTTAAAGGACTGGTCTGTAGAGGAAGGAAGGGAATACCAATTTGACCAGTGATAGAAATGAAAGTTACTGGTTAAAACAGAGAGTCACAGGAGTGCGTGTTTATTGTAAGCTGAAGTGTAGGAGTAATGGCATGGCATGTCAGCTTCATTTCACAAGCCTTCTCATTTAACTTATTAGTTTCTTTTTGATTTAGTCAACGTTTTTATTTGAAAGCAAGGTCTTGTAATCTGCATGCACACAGGCACTAGTAACTGGTAGTCTTGAACTGCAATTACAATAAGTTTGTGAGATCACAGTAACCTTTAATTGTAGCAAGCGCTTCCTGTCACTGTGGTACTCAGTCTGGTCTGCCTTCTTCATGTGAACTTCACGTCTTAAGTATTATTGACAAATAGTACTCCCTTTTGCTGCAAGGGAGAAAAACAAGTAGTCTATCCTCTGGATTTGAAACCATTTTTTTTGGATCTTTTGGCTGAATCACCAATATGTAGCTTTTCACTAGAGTCTCAACAGAGTTCATATCTCTGATCTCTTTGTAGAAGGCAGGATCATCTCAGTTTTCTTTGTCTATACAAAATACTGTTCTTTAAATAATTTTCTCTGTCCACCATCTGCTTTCCCTCCCTCTTTGAATCATTTCACATAATGTCTCCATATTTCTTTCTAACAATTTCAAGCTGCTTTTTCAGTCAGGTTAAGTGCAGTATTTTTGTACTCCTCCTTCAGCCAATCTCCCCCTGTGGACTTGTCCATATGTATCTATGTGATTTCAGTACAGCTTGCTATGCAGAACCACTGTTTTGTCCTCTTTTAAGTTTACTGGGAACAATGCTCATGCTTTGCATGCTAGACTAGAGAAAATTATTATTATCACAGTGCAAAAATTACTCAAACACCTTTTGCTTTGTAGATGTCATGCAAAATCCATGCCATGCTAAATGCTTATCAGTGAAATGATTTCTAGTGGTTTTTATTTGGCTTCTGTATTTCTCACACTATGGGAATGCTCTTGCAATTGGCCTAAATAATCTCAGAAGTGACTAATGCCTATCTCTCGCTGCCAGAAATGAAATTCACTCCTACCATAATTCTAAAGCTTGAATGTTATAGGTTAAAAAAGCAAACAATACCAAAACCCCTCTTTGACAGGCTCTGACAGAATCTATTACCTTTTTTCTTCATCTTTTCTTGTGTGTGGGTGTGAGTTTTTTCCTTTAAATTTATTTTTCACTTTATATATGCATTTTAACTAATTGTCTATGTTATATTGGTTTGTGGGTTCTTTTCCATTTGACACTAGTCTTCAAATTTTTGCTTGTCACTTACCTAATTTTTTCTGGATATCAGGTGAATTCCATGAAAATTCCTAAAGTTAGTCACCTTGGGGATTATTTGATTTGTTGTTCTTCTGGACTAAATCTTGAGAAAGAGTACCTATTCCATTGTTAAAATACCTTCAGATCTCATGTCCTGTCTTATTAAATTCTGTTTCTGCAGCCCAAGTCTAACTGTTATTTGTAGGAACTGTGCTGCTGAAAGACTGAAAAATTAAACAAAACTCTACAAAAAACTCCAGTAAAAAAGCACTGGAATTAATTTGAAAAGAAAGGGAAATTTTAGTTGGAGCTTAGGCCTCTTTCTCAACAATTGGCAAGTGCTTCTATACTATATCTCACTACAGGAATGAAACCATACTCAGCAGCACTGGCTAAATGTTGCAGTGTATTGAGGTGGGAATAAAGCTTAATTTGCCAAAGGTAGCCAAATAAGAGTCATTCTGTATAAAAACTGTAACTTACTGGCAGCCCATTCCCATAGTTTTTAGTGATGCCTTTGCCAGCACTGCTGCACAGCGCTGTACATGGTGCATGGTACATATGAAAGAGCACAATGCTCTGCCACCGAGAGCCATTCCCTGAAACAAAGCTTCCTCCCCTCCTCCCCTTGTCACCAACTGGCACTCACACACGCTGAGAGTTTCTGCCAACTGATAATGACACATTTTGCATTTGTGAACAGTGCTGGGAAACATATTGAAAAACTCAGAGGTTAATTATAATTAGAGGTGTGGTGATTGAGAAGACAAGTCTGGATGGATTAGAGACACGCTTTAAGTGTTGTAACCCCTTCAGCTCTAGGCTTTCATCACCTAAGGATCCATCAGCCATCTTTTATCTAATTATGTGCGTGGTCATGTAAAACTTTGCAGGCCTGATGGAAAATGAGATCAAGCAATAGTGAAAAAGAAGAGAATTACAAAAATAATAATTTTGAAAAGAAATGTGCTACTGAAAAAATTTCTTGGTGCAGTGTATTCAAAGGGAGTAAACAACATAATTTAAATCTGACCAAATACTACACATATATAAATCTATACAAACAGCTGTTGGTAAAAATCTGATAAGAGTACATCTGATAAATATAACCATAAATCAGTCACTTGAGAGGCTTTAGAAACTAAGACACCAAGAAAATGAAGGTAACTTTCAGAATCAACTTGATTGTTACATGCAATCATATGAACAGAAAGAATTTTACCAGATACTTTAATCTAGCAGGAAACTCTTCAGTCAGAGTAGAAACTGGAAACCGGACATGGAAAAAGATGAGATTGAGTGATTATTGAATTTCCTTAGTGTTACAGACGTTCTCTGTCATCTGGAGTCTTTCACACAAGATGAGACAGTTTCCTTCATCCCAAAGGTGCTCAGGCATGAGAAGGGAGAAGTTAGGGATAATGCTGTGGCGTCTGTGTGCCAGTTTTTTCTGTCTTTAACATTAGTGACAGATATCAGCCATATAGTTATGCTAAGTAGACATCTTCTGTGGAAGACCAAAATCCTGGAAAATATGGCTTTGAGAAAATACAATTTAATGAAACAAAACAAAGTCATATTTAGAATACAAGCCAGTTGTTTTCTTGGCACAGTAAAGATGCTTAGATGCTGATTGTTACAAGCACCTGTTCCTATGTGCAAATCAAGAAGGAAGTTTATATATCCTGTCTGCAATCTCAGACTCTGCACCCTCCTAAATTTAGAGATGGCTGTTCTTTCCTCTTGCTGCCTTCAAGTGGCACAGAGAAACAGAATCTAATCCCCTTGCATAGTGTATATGGTTACATGCTAGATTTCCTGCAGACAGCTCTGGCTTTGGTATTTCTTCGGGTTGGTGTCTTAGTAACCTAGATGGCTTTTTTTCTTTTTAATCTAGTGATTTCTATTTTATTTTGTTCAGCTGATTTTAGCCAAGAAATATATTCATTATTATTTAAATAATAGATTCCTTATTATTTTGGTTGGTAAAAGAAATTATATATAAGCACAACTTACCTACAGAGACATCAGATGGGGGAGTAATCAACAACTGATTGAATTGTCGAATGAGTACTACTGGAATAGAGTTAAGAAGAAAAATTTGATGCAAATATGGGGATAAAAAATCTTATATTGTAAGAATGTGTGATAATCAGAATACATTCTCAGGAGAATTGATGGAATTTGCATAATTTATTTAAAAAAAAAAAGACTCAAAACCTATAGTTTTCTAGACATGGCACTCATATTACTTAGTCTGTGCTAGGGGCCAAAGTAAGCTATTTTCTCTGAATATAACTCAAAACTTTTTCCAGTTGGCCATATGGACAAAGCCATCCTGTTTGAAGGAGAAAATAATTTAAAGATAAATTCTGTGCAGCCCTCTTCTTGTGTAGATAAAACCATTGGAATTCTGCCATTGATCTTTACTGAGACTAAGTTTTTACCTCTGATGTTTCATGGTCCTTTGGGAAGCATTTTTAATGTTATTTCTAACAGAAAATATATTTTTAGCAGGATAGAAAAGTCAGTGACAAACCAAGTAAAGCATTTTCATTTAAAACAAATTTCATGCCTTAGTGAAGCATCCTCTTTGTATCTGCACTATTACATCATTAGAACTCTTAAAATCTATTTTTTCATTGATATTAGGCAAGCAGAGGTACTGAGATATATGTCAATTTGTAACAGGCATAAGTGGAGCTAAGGTATAAGCAAAGAACTAAGATATGGGCAAAGAAGTGGCTAATTACAGAATACTGAAGAGAGAAGCTCTTCTTTTCATAGATGTGGGCATTATGCATATCTGTGAAAAGTGCTGTTGTCTAACCAGAATGTCAGCAGTAAGACTCAGTACCTTACAATGAGCAGCTTCTTGCATTCCAGTGGTTTGTGTCCTTCACACCAGAGTATTTTGATATTGGCTTTCCAATATCTGATGTCTAGTGTTCCAGTGTCTAAAGGTGCCATGAATCCAAAATGTTAACAAAGCTGATTTCAGAAATGTCCTATGAAAGTAAAGCTGTCAGTACACGCATACTTCAGTTTGTTTTCAAATACATGTGTATCATCGAGCTGTTCCATATTTAACAAGCAAAACTAATTGAATCTTGCATGATCTTAGTGTGCATGTATTATTTATTTTACAGGTAAGGTTTTATGGTATTATTTAAATGTTACGTTTTGATGTAAAGTGTTTTTACTCTTTATTTTTTCTTTCCTTCTATCTCTGATGGTGAAGGATACTCAGAAATCCTTTTTGCAACCTCCCCAGTCATGCACACTGTCCGTCCAACATTCTATAAGGGTATTGTCTTCCTTTTTTATCATTATCAATGCAACAGAGACAAAATCCTATAAAGGCTTGCAGTTGGGGCATTTGCAGTCCATTCAATGCCACATGCCATAAAGGGAGAAGTGTACCACCTTCATACCTCCCTTCTGTCCTACCATTTCCCATTACCCTGACGATGTTCTCACTTTACAGCTGTCTGCATTTTACTTGCAGATGAATAGAAATAATGTTTTGCAGAATTTTGGCAGTTTTTGAAGTATTTAAGCAGGTATTTTTTAAGTATTTGGCAGTTTTTGTGGTACAAGATGTGCTCAGTAGAGTACATAGATTTTACTTTATAATTTCATAGTGTAGTAATTGCCTGGGATTCAATTACAAAATACACTACTGCAGTTACTAATTTCCAGTAATGGAAACAATGACAAATGTATGCTTTATGTAGTCTAAAGTAACATAGCAACTTCTTTGAATATTTTTTTTAAATGTATGAAGTCACAATTGCATATTCTTTGTTTTTCTATTGTGTATTCAGTTCAACCACTTTATCCAAGGATCAGAAATGTTACAACAGCTGCTGCTGAGACCTATGCCAATATCAGTTGGGAGTATGAGGGACCAGATCATGCGAACTTTTATGTTGAATATGGTGTAGCAGGCAGTAAGAAGTCGTTCCATTAAATTTACTGAAGTGTTCAGATGTATTTTCGAAGATCTTTATAGTAAATGTGGTCTTAAATTGACCCAGTGTTAATGATAGCTCTTAAATGTCTAGAAAAATGATTTTTTAAATTTGATCGAGAAGATCAAATAATTTTCATTTTAATAAACATCAATGTGTAGCAGGTGTTTGATGCTTAGATAGAATATGAACCTTTGTTCCTTTGTATTATTTTATAAATTCATTGGAATGTGAACTTCTAAAAATGTAGTTTGCATTAGGTTGTTTATCATGCAGTGATTACATGAGTAAATGTATTACACTACAGGTACAGTAGTACCTGCATTAAAATAGGACATAACAGTTTTCCTAAATTATGCCCAATTCAGGAAAAAAAAAAGAATTAAATAAGATATTCTTTGTTAAATTAGAACTTAAAAGAAGATATCAACCAATTTATGTACTTTTTTTGGCATAAAACCAAGTTTATATCTTTGACAATACCAGTAGTAATTAAAACACAATTATCTAATAAAAGCAAGATACTTCTTTTCAAATACCCCTTCTTTCTGAAGTTATCAGTAAAGGTGAATAATCTGAAAACTGGGATATAAATGCATTTTTCTGGATATCAGTCAGAGAAATAGATGAGACTGTACTAGAAAGAAGATATGAGAGAAACAGATTCAGATTTTGAAATAGAATTTCTTGACCAAAGTAAATATTGACTGAAACTGCAAAAGTGTTATTTAATTAGAGATTAAAATCTATTTTAACGTATTTTATAATTACAAGTTCAATAAATATTTAAAAATAAATTAAGTTAGTATTTCTCTAGTACAATGGAACAAATGTTTAAAATAGTTTCATAATTACTGTACAATGTCTTCTTCAATATATTGCATGCAATCTATTAGTCATAATTTTATATAATTTTATTATTTTTTGAGAGAACAGTTATTTTTTCAGATGATCCATAGTTTAGTCAAGTAACTGTCAATAGTATTCTGTCTAGAAACTTTCAGTAATACAGAGAAAATTAAAATTCCAATATGTTGTTTTCCTAAAATTTTTGTAGGCAAAGAAGATTGGAAAAAGGAAATTGTAAATGGTTCTCGAAGCTTCTTTGTCTTAAAGGGTTTAACACCAGGAACAGCATATAAAGTCCGGGTTGGTGCTGAGGGCCTGTCTGGTTTTAGGAGTTCAGAGGATGTGTTTGAGACAGGTCCAGGTGAGGCACACCGTACCAATTCTGTATCATAGTCAGAATCGTGATAGACCAGGTGTTGAAATGCTGAACTGCTTCTAGCTGAGAGATGTTGTAGATGGCATCTTTGCATGTTCCTTTCATAGAGCAATGTTATTTTATAAACTCCTAAATAATGCCAGGTTATGAATGTGTCCATCCTTTCAATTCACTCTGCTTGACTGATGTTTATACTTAGGGGCAAGATATGCGCTGCTCACAGTCCATCTGTGTGCTGTGCATTGGAGATGACCTATTTTTTATATTTCTAATTAATATAATTAAATGGCTGTATTAAAGTAATGTCTCATTTAATAGAGCTAAAATATTTGCATAGTCAGTGCAGATTCATTTTGATGTCTCGTGATCTATTTATACCAGTGTTAAGACATTCCTACTTGTAAATGTTTCTTTTCCTGCCATATACTGGTTTTATATAGATTTTGATCCCACATCTATATCCTAGGAATCAGTAAGTCTGTTTAAGTTCCTTATGTACATATTGCCGTCCTGTTTCTTCATAAGCAAATCAACAATGGTTGTCCATTTCACTCAGAGAAAGGGCTTTATTGGAAGTTTTTTGATGTTATGCTAAATACATTGTTGCCATCACAGCATGTTCTTGGTTCAGCTGTTACTATTATTTTCTGTCTTTGCTAGCCACTTCTGCTCATTCCAGGCATTTAGGTCTCTGCATAGTTATATAGCAGTAGTCTCATCAACTCCAGAATGTTATAACAAAGTAATTTAAATATGAAAATATGCTTGAACATTATGTAATGATTATCAGGCAACAAAATAGGTAATGGATATGCCAGTTTGAAAGTGAGCACTTTCTAAAATAATTTTGTTCGTTTGTTTTGTTCCATTTCTGTTCACAGTTTATCGTGTTGCAGGAAAGCTTTGAAAACATGGTGCTGAATAACAGTGCCAAGCAAATATGTACAAGCTAAAAGCAAAGCCAGAAACAGCTAGTGGTACAAAAGCATATCTGTAAAATTTTATGCAAATACACATCCAAAGCCTAAAGCAGCAGTAAACAAGGATCAAGACTATAATATAATCCAAAACAAGCTGAATGGAAACCTTCCCAAAAGCATCTTTCTGCATAAAAAATACTGAGCCAATAGACAAGGAATCCTGTACTTACCTAGTCACGTTGACTCAGGCCCTTGAATAGTTAAGGAAAAAGTGAATTTAAACACACTCTCTTCTGCTTCTTGATAATAGAAAGTTTCAATGTCCAACATGAAATTATATACATAATCTATGTCTTACAGAAAAATTTTGTGTCACAGTCTTCAGCCTAAATCAAAGCTTTTAAACACTGCAAAAATGGAGTGGACAAAGAGGAAAGTACTGGAATACGGAATATGTTCTTAATAGAAATGAAACTGCAACATTTCAAATGTGAGGCTTTTGCCACATTTTTTTCTTTGTCAAGCATTCCTACAGAGCATTTTCCCAGTGTGCAGATTTATCTTTTTGGGCATTCCCAGTCCAGAGTACTGCATTGACTCCTGAATTAGTGGTTCAACAGTCAAAGTTTTTCTGCCTGAAGCAAATAATTTGCTTAGCATAAGCAGGAAATGTTGTGCCATTTTAAAAGTTGCACAGAGATCTAGAAACCCTTTCCTACTGGATATGCAATAACTTAATACAGAAATCTGCATAAATAAGTTTTCATCTTTACTCTTTCCCATCTATCTTGCGTATTTTTATGCGAGTTGTTTTGCTTGATGCTATTTCTTACTGCATTTGAATGTGAATTGTGCTTTTGCATTTTTGTTGCAGTATGTATTATACAACCTTTAATGCCTTATTATGAATGCATATGTGCAAAACCCAAAATAATTTTAACACTAATGTGATAACAAAGTTTTATCTTATTTTGATTTATAGTTCAGAGGAAGATAACCTTTGTGATTTTGTTTTTTAAAATTGCCACATATATTTTATATATATTTATATGTGGTATATAAAGTATAAATATACATGTATATAAGGGATATATTTATATAACCTGTAGAGATTTTCATGCAAAAATAGTTTAAATTATTGTGCATTTAAAAAAAGAGTTTCTAAAATATCAGAAAATATATTCTTAAACAAGGGCTGAGAAGCCTCCCAATCATATCTCCACAATTGGTCTTCTGTATGGAATGGATAGGAGATACTATATCCAGACATCAGCAATACTTTGAGTTTTCATAGAGTCCTTGGAAAACCCTTAGGAATGTGGGCCCATCGAAAGCTGCTTTTCCAAGCTAGCTGTCTCAGCCTCTCTCTTAACTAGGAAATAACACTGAGACATGGGCTTGAAGTCTGTCTATTGGGCAACTCTTCATAAAGAGTTTCATACTCGGGGTTTAGGACTGGAGAAGAAATTGAAGAATGAACACAGTAGGTTTGAGTGGATGTCCATCTTCCTCCACTTCATATCTTCTTCTCTCTGTAGCATCCCAAACACCTCTCACACTTCTCACTTCCTCCAGACAGCAAATCCTAAGTCCAGTTGCCTGTGGCATGTCTCTGAATGGCAGAGTAGAAAATAAGCTTCACCAGAAAAATCCTCCTACAGTATTTGAGACCAGTAGGAGAGATCCAACCCCAAGACCACGCAGATATTATTAGTGACTATAGTGTTTCCTGTGCAGTTTGCTTATCATTTACATTATCTTCCATCTAGACTCAGCATTTGGAGAGAAATAGTGCCAAGGAAAGGCTTCCCGATTGCATCGTGTTGAGCCCTCACTAAGCCTAAATCATGGCAATCATGATAAATTGTAGGAAGAGTAGGATGAGGTTTGAGGAAAGGCAGAAAACATGATGTTTAATAAGGTTTTAAAGGATGCTTCATTTTTAATTTTTATTTGAAATTGAATGTTATGGCCTTGAATGACCCATGTGTTTCCCCATTTCACACTGATGGAAATGCCTTAGCTAATGAGTATTGGCTTTTTATTCATTTTGAGAATGCAATTGACATGTTTATGTGAATTATAATTTGCTATTTCATTTCAGTAGTTTAATTCATGTAAAATGGCTCAGAATAGTTTTGAGGTTTGTGGAAAGCAATGTAGTGTGTGTGCAGATTTCACAAAGTAGTTACTAAGCTTAAATGTTGGCAGAATTCTTATATACTCAAAAGTAAGTTCTATGTACTTGGAAACATTTTGAGTAATAAAAATACAAAATACTCACTGTCTTTCTTAATACTGGTTTTTTTCACAGTGAATGCTATTCCCTAATAAACATTGTATACTGGTTTTTATTTATCTGAATTAGCATAGCATTTAAATGCAGCAAAACATCTAATTTTTCTTCTTTTATCCTCTAGCAATGGCGAGCCGGCAGGTGGACATCGCTACTCAAGGATGGTTCATTGGTCTTATGTGTGCTGTTGCTCTTCTGATCTTGATTTTACTGATTGTTTGCTTCATAAGGAGGAATAAGGGTGGCAAATATCCAGGTATGCTGTTTAACAGTGACAGTAAAATTCATCTGTTTGTAACCCGTTAAGACAGATTTCAGGTTTACTGAAAAATTACATTTGCTGCGGGGTTACATTTGCACTGTGTATATGGCAAATCAGTCATCATGTGGTGGGCTTGGCAAGAGCAATCTGCATAATGGTAGAAAACCTCAATCTATTTAAGCATAAGAGAAGTACCTCCTTCCTTCCTGGAGAGTCATATTACTGCATGACCTCTCTAGAGAGGTCCTGCATATTCCACTTTCAGAAGTATAGTGCAGATGGGTTCAATCCACGAAAATGAACTGAGTTGCAATTTATTTATTTGGTCAGAAAGTGTGGAAACATACGCCTGATCACGGCCACTGCATTACTTTAAAGTACGGGGAATGTATTTCATAGGACAAATCTCTTCATACGTTATTTTGTCTCAAATACAAAATACCTTCAGTTCCTTCCCAGAATCTGTATTGTCTTCAGCCTCTGCTGAAGTTGCAGCCTCATTTCTGCAACTAAGTCTGAAGTTACCATCCTGCAGTAAGGCTGTTTTTTCTTCTATGATTTTTTTCTTTATAAGAAGGGGAGAGGGTTTTTTTAGTATTAGGTCTATGAATGGCCAAGTATATTTTATAATGTTTAATTAAAAATTGGAAGTATACAATGTATGTCTCCTATCAAAACTCTCATTCCTCCTGGTGTACATATTATAGAAGCCGTATATGTGTATGTATGTATTTGTGCATATATGTATCATACATAACTTTCTCCAGTCTTACATTTCTGTTTATATAGTAGGTCCATAGACTAAAGCTCTCTTGAAAAGGATAGTGGGAACCAGTTTGCATAGTGTTATCAGGGAGGATCTCAGAGCAGCTGTTGAGGGATGAGTGTCTATGAACGAACTTCAGGTGAGCATCTAGGGACAGAAAGTTAAACGTGGAAGATTTATTCGAGAAGGAAAAAGAGTTTTGCTCAAGGAGGTTTTAACTGCTGGGAAAACTAGGCCTGGGAAAAACCCAGAGTGGGAAGAAACTCCTTCCCATGAAACTCTTTCTCTATTTTTCTGGCTGTCTGTTTTGAGAAGTTAACTCTCTGGTTGCAAGAAGAGGCAAAAATTCTCACAGACATGATTGAAGCCCCTGCTGGGAGAGAGGGAGATCATAAAGCACAAGGGGTAACACAGCCTTGAAGTTACGAGCATGCAAAAGCTGTTTATATAAAAGCACTGGAATGGATTTTCTGGGCTGCTCTTTTGCCCATTGCTTGATTTAGCAGTGTATTTAGGATTTAGACCTTCGAAATAAACTTTTCCTTAATACCCTAGCCGTGATTTGGTCATCTGGGTTTACCTGTTTGTATTAATTCTTAAAGCATCAAATGAGAATTTGGTTTTTCATTTTCCTCTCCTAGCTCCAGTAGAAAGTACAATTGCTAAGTTTCATGTGAAATCTTGACTTTCTGAAAAAATTCTGTTCTATATTACAGACTCCAAAGGTTTGGAAATTATATAAATATTCAGACTCTAGAATGCTTATCTGACGTCACCTCAAACTTCTTGAAGCTGATACTGTTAATTTGGGAATGAAAAAGCAGGATGAACTTACAAAAGTACAAAAAAAAAAAATCCATGCTTTGTTTTAATTTCTCCTGCTTGTTTTGACCGGTGCACTTCCGAAAACTAGTGTTAGTGAACACTAAGAACTTTACCTCTTCATAGGGGAATCTTTTATAGCTGAGCTTAGCATAGCAGATTATTTTTATAAGAAAATCACCTCATTAAATACAAGAATCCTACTCTGCCCAATCTAACTGTTAAATTGTTTTATAGAGAGAGCAAAGATTTGTAGTAATAGCAAGAATTAAGCAAGGGAAGCTTCTATTCCAACTGCCTATGCCCATGAAAAAAAGACAGATTATTAAGGAACAGTGTTATGTAAAATTATATGACAGGTTGAAGACATCATCTTAGGTTTTTTTCCTTATATTTCAATTATTTAAAAAGAAAATGAGATTATTGAGGATATAGGAAAAGTGACTCTCAGTGGAGAGAACTGAGAAAAGAAAATGAAAATTCAAAGATTGAAACAAGGGAAGTGATGGAACTAAAAAGAGTAGGGAGGACTTGAAATGAGCCACCATCAAGAATAGGGCAAAACAGAGTTTTTGAGTAAAAATGTAGAAGGCAGCTGAATGCTAAGGCTGGTATTACTTTGTGGATCCCTGATATGCCATTCTTTTCTCAGCTTCTGCAGAATTATTAGCTGTAAGGTATTCATTTTTTTATGCACAGCTACATATGCATATACACACACATATATAAAGGTATACCTTGGATGTTTATAAGATTTCCAGATTCAGTATGTACTGGTGTTTATAGCAGTGATGTTATAGCTAATTTTATTTCTTGTCTCATTGCAAATGTACTGTTCCACAGGTAGTGACAAATGTGAAGCACAGAGTTAAGAAAATCTATGAAAATCAAAGTTATGAACTCTTTTTCATCATAATTTTAGCATGTCATCTTGATATTTCTATGGTTTGTAGAAAGCAATCAATTACTTCAGTATGAAATTACAGCAGCCAGATACATCCCCAGGTGTTATGCCTCACTGCAATTATATACTTAGTAAACACTATCAGGAGTGATTCATATCCTCTTAAATAACAGCATATAAATTAATGATATAAAAATTAAGTGTGGAAATTACCAGATTAAAAGATAATATATTGTATATTGGGTTTTATAACCGTATCTGCTAAACAAGGGAAAGATTTGAGTAGTTGCCAGAGAAACAGAAATGAAAAGGCAAACATGTGTCATCTGTAAACATCTGACCTCTCAGGTGCTAGTGGGTTTCTGTGTCAAAGTTTCTGTGCTACATGTATTTTTGTACAGGGACAAGTTATATGCCTGGATTTATTCTCACCAGGGAACGATGACTAAACATAAACCAAGGATTTGCAAGAGATACAATAGTGTTAAATTTAGGTTCCAGTGTGGGTGATTTTGCTTTGCTTTTGATCGTGTTATAGAACAGAAGAAATTAACAGACCATGCCTGTTTTTTTCCATTATTAACAACTCTCAAAATACTGTTTAAAATTCCCTGGAGTCTTATTGTGTGAAATGAAAGCAGAAAATGTACAAACTGACAGTGAACCCAAGTGAATCTGATTCAATTTTATCAATCAGTATAAGACGAATATCAAGAGGAAACAGAGATCGTGGTTAAGTAAAACTAAATTATTCAGATATCAATAAACAATAGCTCTAATAATAATATAAGTAAATAAATTATTATAGTAGCATTTTTAACAAAACTTTAGTTCTAGAAATGAAAGGAAGAAAATGTTCTACTAATGCAAAATGACACACAGTATTTTATACTTGAATGAAAATAAAATTCTATAACTAATTAACAAATCTTTTTCTTCAAGAGAAAAAATGTAACACCCTAAGGTCCTATTTAAAAAAATTATTCAAACCATGTTCCTGTCAAATGTGATCAGTTTGAGAAATTAAGAACTTAGGGTTTTTCATCTTGCAGTTCCATGATAAATATTACCATTTCAAATATTTTAGTGAAGGAAAAGGAGGATGCACATGCTGATCCAGAAATACAACCTATGAAAGAAGATGATGGAACATTTGGTGAATACAGGTGAGCAACTGATGTGATTTGTCATGTTCACTGTTATGTCACACGTGTCCTGTATATAGTATCACACTTATTAATTCAAAACTAACTTTTCTGTGTCAAAGATTCTGTATCCAGTGTTATATAGAACTATAGATAGCATTTCAACCGCAGAATTAGAAATTATCCAAGCTTGGTATAAGCCATCTGCTAGTACAGGGTGAAATCCAGTTTCAAACACAATTGTCTTAAAGTGTGGAATCTTTATCTACAAAGCCAGCTTTCAGATAGTTCAAATAGATACAGTGTCCTTTCTGTTAGGGCACATTTAGCATTATGGTTTTTTGAAAATAAATTTCCAGTTGAAGCCTACTAAAGACAATCTGCTGTTAAGTTGACTTGAAAACAAACGCATTTAAAATGGGTGCCAGTACTAACATCTAATCCAATAACAATGAAGTTATGTTATACACAGAGGTGAAGGCATGTCCTACAAGAGAAAACAAATCTCCCTTTCAGTTTTTCAGTACAAGATACATAGCAAGCAGCTTCAAAGCATGCAACACAGCTCCTATTCCTGATTCTCTTCCTTTATTGTAAATGAAATCTAGCCAAATCTCCTGGCATTACCAAAAGCATGCCTTGGCAAATCTGTTCATGTAATGATTATGAGTATAGCTTATTTAATAAGCAGCATTTTATTTGTTGTTTTTTGGTTAGTGCAGAAAATAATGTTATTATTTTCTAAATAGGGCAATATCATTATCTTCTACATGGGTGATATAATAGATTTTGTAGTGCACTTCTGTGTCATAAGCATTATAGCCCTTTATTATTTTTAAGATTTGACATTTACAAATGTACATTGAAAAAAAAAAGGGGTTTTTTTCAAGAAGGATCTATACTGTTGCCATAGCTTCTTCACAGAAGGGAAATGTACATCTTGATCTGACAGGAATAGATGTACAGTTCTGAATGCCAAAGAGCAGTTTCTGTTTATTTTCCCTTGATTGAAAAAATACAATACTCTGTTCTTACATTACTGAGTTCAGAATAGTATTTTATTACAGTACATTAGTACATAAGAATTAATTAAATTCAACTGATAAAAAGAGAAGTGTGAAGCAATGTTTGGAAGCAGAGGTAAATAAGTACTGTCTAAGTTTTCCTGGGCATTCCAGTTTTCATTCTCCTTTATTGCTCCACTGGTTTTTGATACTTGGAACTTCTAGCAGCAGAAATTGACCTTTGTACAGAATTGTACAAATGATATGACCTCAATACATCTTTTCTCAGGCCTGGAATAAGTATGGAAGTCTTTGTGAGACCTGTAGCAAGATTTGAATTTATGCCTCCATATTTAAGTGGCTTGAGTTAGTCTATAGAATCATCTAGAGCTTTATAAATTATTTTATAATGCATTTATCCACCTCATGTCTGGTGAATATGGGTAGATGCATGCCAAGCTTTCAGACTTGTTAACATAAAAGAGCTCGTCCTATGTACCATGCTAAAACTCCTTCTAAAATGTATTTATGTGTAATTAGTCTATATTGGGCTTTCCTCTTTTTTCCTTAGAGACAGGGCAGCAGCAGCAACCAGTCAGATTACTGAAGATATCTTGCCACCCTCTCTGCAGCCCAGCATCACTGCAGTCACTCAGTTCCCAGTTTGTCTGCCTCACATGATGCAGTGCTTCTTTAAGGACAAAGGGTATAGGGTTTCCCTTGAAAAAAAATGTAATTTTTGAAAGATCTAGGAATTCGAGTATTTTGAACTTTTTTCATCACTTCAGGTCCATGTCTGCTTGGACAGGAAAGAAACTGGACAAGGAAAAGAAAAGAAAAGGTAGCTGTGCCAATTCTCCTGAAGCAGACCCTGTCTGTACCAAAGCAAAGTCTGTGAGATCTGACAGATCCAACTTCTTCAGAAGGTCAGGGGATCAATACTCCAGCACCAGATCAGAGACCTCCTACACCAGGAGGAGGGCTAGGCAGTCTTCAGAGCTGACAAGGGTTAGTTGTGTCTCTGCTTCCCTCTGCCAAGAGGAAAAGAGGTCAGACGAATGGAAGTACAGGCATGGCTCTAGACATCATGCTTCTGAGCAAGTGATAATGGGGTCGGAGAAGGGCTCAGATTCTCAGGCAGGACAACAATCCCTTTTCCAGCAACCCCTCAGCTGCAACTCAGTTGGTGGCTCACTGGCAAGGCAGCATTCTTCTCTCCAGCACTGGTGCAGCCAGACCCCAGACTGCAGCTCAGATTCAGAAGACACTGAGAGCTCCTGTCCCAAGAAGGTAAGACCTTCTACTGCTCCTCACTTCTCTGAATCTGAAAAGAATTCACTATTGAAATCTGTAATTGTGCCTGAGCTAGCTACTGTCTTAAAGGATGCTTTGACAGCAGCCAGACAAAGTATAACATCTGTGGCACAGGTTAGGTCCCATTCAGTAAAGCATCCCAGGGTACCAATTACAGAAGTTCCAGTGGCTCCTTTAGAAGCATCTGGGAGCAGTTCCCAGACTTTTGAGTCTGACCATATGGACAGCTTAAAAGATCAAACAGCTTTTGGGAAGGAAAATCCTGAGCTTGACGAGGCCTCCTTGGAGGTTGAGTCAGCCCATGAAGATGGGGAAGTGGCATCTGAGTCCCCTACAGAAGATAAAGAAGGACCAGATCCTCTGCGTAAATTTGACATGGAGAATCAGAATTATCTGTTCAAACACATAAAGAGGGTGTTAATGCTAAAATCTTCCAAATCTGAGTGTGCTTCAGAAGAACTGCTTATCCCCTCTGAAGAAGGCAAGATAGATAATGCGCTTCCTATCCATTCAGCTGTGGAAGATCTTGTCTGCAGGATTTGGGGTAATCCTGAGGCCAAGCATGAAGCCCCAGCAGTACTACGTAAACTCTATCCTTTTCCAGGGGATAAAGCTGCTTTGTGGGGTACCTTGCCTGAGGTAGACAGAGCATTGGTTACTGGTGATTCTGTACTGTCAGTGCCTGATAATAGAGATGCGCTCCCTAAAGATCCTACTGACAAAAAGATTGAGGAAGCAATTAAAAGATCTTTCAAGCTAGTTGCAGCTCAGCTTGGAGTATCTATCTACTGCACTTATGCTTCTAAGGCTTTACTTATATGGTTGGAGGAAGAACAAGCCAAATTCAAAAAGAAACGGTTCCCGTCTGCTACCATGCAGAGGAAACGCAGGCTATGTAAAATTGCAGCTAATTTTATCCACGATGCAGCTGAGGATTCTCTTAGACTCACTGTTAAAAATATGGCATGCCTCACTGTAGCCTGGAGAGCTGTATGGCTGCGTCCTTGGACCTCATTGCTAGATCTAAAATGTAAACTGCTGTCTTTGCCATACACAGGGGGCAAGCTATTTGGTGAATCCTTAGTCCAGATCATGAAGGATTTCTCAGAACACAAATACTCCTTACATCAGATGAAAAAAAAGAGCTCTGTTGGAAGCTGTTCCTTTTCTTATCCTCACAAGTGTCTGAGCTCCTTGCGTTCTCCTCCAAAGTTCAAAGGAGGGAAGGGAAAGTATAAGGTCTCACAGTCATTCCATGCCAAGTACAAAAAGACATCTCACTCTCAGAGAGACACCAGACCATCAAGAGGAACTTTCTAAGAGCATAGACTTGCTTCCTACTTTCTCAGGAACTGAGAAGAGTGAAAGATGGAAATGTTTCAATATTTCTGGACAAGCCCAGTCCTCAGAAAATTAGTTGTTTCAAAATAAAATTAAAACTATTAAGTTGCTTAGATCTCGATGAGTAATTAATACATTCTAGAGAAATGACAGCTCTTAATTTTAGGGGAGGTTTTTTCACATTCCATGTCTAGGCTTCTCAGTGGTCTTCGGATGGCTTGGATTTGTTTGAAGTTTTGCACTCCTCAACTTCATCTAAGAGCATACCTTCTGCAGGACCAGCCAACATCATATTTTTCTGCCATATCAAACTAAATAAGGAAATAATGGTTTAGGAAATGCAGATGTTTCAAGAACCATGGAATGACTGTGTACACTATGTTCCTGTGACTTGATTCCTTCACTTTCACATAATAAGGGAAAACAGTGCCTCTGTAGCAAACTGCAATGAGATAGTAAATTGTGGACAGTCAATGCTTACACCAAGCAACTGCAAGAAACAGAATAAGTAAGATAGATGTTTATTTATTTAAATTAAAATAAAAGATTATACAGAGCTCCTGTTCAGGTCTATACATCATCCTAATTTCCCTCCTGGTCCCTAAATTGAGAGAAATTAAGCAGTTATAACAGCTACAGACCTATGGGTTTATAGGTAGGGAGAGACTGGAAGCTTGCATTTTTTAGTTAACTACAAGGGCAGGACAAAATTGCAGCAGTCTGCAGAATGTACTTAGGAAGACAAAACAGGACAAGGCAACTCCAATAGTAGGACTGCTAGTGTGGTAACAAAGGATGTTTGCACATTTTGTTGAATTATTTTGCCTCTTTTCTTCAACATTTTGACACACACAGTATCTTTCCTAGAAATTCTTGGAAATGCTACAAGAGACTGTCTGGCAGAGAGTTTTGAGATTGCTAGATAATGTATCACTCTTCCTTCTTGTTCTGGGTTGATTAACAATGAGAATATGGTTTGTAACAACTATTTTTTTCTCTTGTACTTAAGTTTTAGTGCAGCTTGGGTGTGTTTCCAAAGAGACCTAACCATGATTTGTGCCGCAGCACTGTAATTCTAAGCTTGGTCCCTTCTAGCACAAGAGATTATCTCAGTGGACTGTCTGAAAAACTTAATAGTCCAATTGGATTTGGCACTAATCTTGCTGTGTTCTAAATTACACACATGTGCTTTCTTTGACAGTTCTTATTTTAATTATTGAGTATCTGTATGATTGCTTTTTAAATCAGTACTTGATTTCCCTTCGTATAATTTTCTACCAGAAATAGAAAGGGTGGAAAGTTGGTTAAATTTCTCTCAAGCAGATTTTTCTTTAAAATTTTCACAAGGAGCAAGTCAGGTTCTTTGACTAACAACACTTTTTTCAACACATTGCCATTTAAACTAGAGCTTAACCTCCCAGTTTTTCCAACTTCTACCAGGATTGAAGATTGAGTATTACAGAGATGTTATAGAAAAACTACTCGGAAGACTAATATAGATGTGCTTAAGTCTTAGCTAAACAAGAAATAGTAAAATGGCTTGATATCTGGATTGATACATGTGCATAAGTCTATAGGGCAAACATTTGTCACCTGCACAGTCCTAACAAGTTAGAAGTGTGAGCAGAAACCTGTTAAGTGTTAGGGCAGAGATTGCCCTGGAGTGTGCAGGGAAGCCCTAATGAAAGGTACTTCTGTGGCTTTACATGACTGCTTATACTGCAACATTTCTGGGCTATTGACCTGAGGGCACAGAAAAAGGAATTTACTGCCAACAGTTTTCATCTGCATCCTCTTTCTGCGTTCCATAGCTCAGGATGTTTTATCCATTTTGTTTGATTTATGTTGCCTTTGATATGACAGTTATGTTATAAGGAAAACTAGTATATTGCTAACTGTATATTGAGTCTTTTTGCATGTCCATGAATGTGGCAAAGTTTAGTGGGAACTAGTTGCCTGCTGGACTGCAGAGGCATCGTAAAACTGTCTTCCCCATTCTGACTGGTTGCTGCATGTACCCATATCTAAGGAAGAAAAATTGAAAAGTTGAAAGAAGAAAGGAGATTTCAAGGTACATATTTCTCTCAATAACTGATGAGCTTGTGAAATGGAAGTACTTTTTTAAAAAAATAAATGTGTACTTTGCACTTATATTATTGTTACCTTTGTACTTCTTATCTCTCTTATCAATTAGATGCAAGTTTGATATTGTTCATTACACTAAAAAGAAAAAGAAACATGTATTCATATATTAGCAATGATTCATGAATAATATTTAAGTCATGCTTTTAGAGTATGCTTTAATATTAAATACTGTTCTTACTAAAAGGGCAAGAAGTGTATGTGGTACATGTCAGTACTTATCAAAATGATTGGTACATATGAGTCTTCACTGAGAAACTTTCATCCTTAAAAAGCTACTAGTATGGAATTTATTTATACAACAAAAAGTAGTAAAAGTATCACTACACTTAACTTCCATGGCTGTCTGATCTAAATATGGAATTCATACCCATTCTCACATCTTGTTTGTTTGATTCCCTTCCAGTCTTGTTTTCTCACTACTAATTGTATGCACTGCATACATGACACTTTTCAAAAACTTCTTCAATTTCCCACTGTAATTTTAGTTAACCCAATTTACACTTTATTTTTTATATCACAATATTACATTAGGTAAGTATAAAAATCGGCAAGAAAAACTACAAATGGAAACTAAAAGAAATTATTTTTTATCCTGATTGCATTTTGGAATAGTTTTATGAACAACTGTAAGCAAGATTGGCAAATCTTGAAGGTACCATATCAAAATGTATTGCTTTAACATGTTTTTGCAATATAATTTTATATATTCTACAGCCTAAAGTGTTCTATAGCTATGTGGGCACCCATATTCATAAGCAGCTTTGCAGTTTGTTTCTTGGCAGCAAACAGGTAATACATTCATTTCCCCAGAGCACCAGAGCGCCCCCAGGGTAACAAAAGTGCTGTCCAAAACATTGATGTCTTCACTTTTTTCTCCCTCTCCTGTTTGTTAGGTCTTTTTCCTCTTTCTTCCTCAATTTCTTTTTTTTCCACCCAAAACATTGTATTCATCTAATACAGGAGTCATAATCCAGTTTGATAAAGAATAAATGGTACCATGGCATATGTTTCCTTTTCCTGAACGCAGAGTGGAAAGAACCCTGGGTAATTCCACTCGGTTTTCTGCCAGAGTCTTGGCAAAACCTCTCTCTGGACTTGTGTAGTGCAACAAGGGAAAGGAATCCCCAAGTTCACATTTGATTTTTACATCTGCTGTGACTGTGCTCTCTGAGCAGTGCCCACCTCTATGCAGATACACTCCTGGGTAAATCTGCAGGTTTGTTTGTTTTTAATTATAGAGACAGTAGATTCCACATCCTTATTAAAATAAGGACACAGTGCAAACAACTGTGTAAGTATTTCTTCATTATTTGCCTTATTATTAAACTTTGTTTGCAAAAATATAAACAAGAAAACCGTAAGAGCAACACAAAGCAGAAGTTCCCATACTCAAATTTATCTAAATTATAAAGGAAAATCAAGCTTTTTATTGGATTAAACACAAAAATGTGGGTAATTTTAATACACTGTATATAATAATGGTGTATTATTTATTTAATGTCTATTTCAGCCTAGTGAATTACACTGGCTGGGGTCACACTGGATAGGGTCATACTTTAGAATATTTGCACAGAAATTCATAATTCATATTCTAAATATGGTAGAAATGCAGTTTTAATTTATTTTCATTCCTGCATATTATGATGTAATAATTATGAAGTTATTGACCTAAAATTAAACAACAAATCATACATCAATGTCTTTTCTTTAATAGTCTTACCCAGAAAGCAGATTTGCTTTGAGAGAAGGACTGGTTACTATTTCAAAGTGAGGGTCTGGTCTTCATTGGACTTGTATAGCCTGTTTTAATAACTCTTAATACCCTCTGATGAGGGCAATGGGGAAACGATTTTTTGTGTGAGTATTAAATATTCAATTCCATTTTCAGCCTTTTAAATATAGCGTCCATCCTAAATGAACTCTCTTCAGTAATGTCTCTGTAATCTGTTTGTGTTTACAGTGTTATAAACAGTTTCACTTTGCTGCTGGATTCTTGATATTTTGGAGTACAGTTGTTTAGATGTTGCTGGCCTGTATGTTTGCAGCACCAGCGAGCACAGAAGATCAATCACACAATATTTTTCCTTGTGGCTTGTACACACCAATAACTAAAAAGTCAAGCCTGATACTGTCAAGTTCAGACATCTTGCCTTTGTGTGTGCTTTGAGCATGAAGGTTTCATTACATGTATATAAAAGAGATATTTCTACCACTTCTTTCCTGATGTATACACAGAATGATAAAATCTCTGGTATGCTTTTTCTGTAAGTATATACATATTAGAGACATCCTTCTTTTAGAATGTGATCTTCCAAAGCCAAAAAAAGGTGATGAGATAAGGAGAAGCAGCTTGATGGAAAATAGGTGTAATGGTTTTCTAGCAATAGTTTCTCAACAAGGCTTTTGTTAGGCAACAATATGATCTGTGTGACTTTGTACATGCTGTGTAACATATATATTACATCCATATAAATATATATGGTTTCTGCAGATGTATATATATAGATGTATATATATATATATATATATGGTTTCTCTGGGTGTTCAAAGATATTAATTAGGAAAAAAAGAAAATGGCTTATTTGAAGAACTAAGGTATTGATTTTTAGGAATTAGAGGGTTAAAAGAATTTGTGGAGTATATATGCATCTAATATTCTGGGAATTGTAAAATTTAATTTCATTTCTTTGATATTTTATACATTTTTCTTTATATTTCCAGAAGTTGTGAGTCTAAATAAAAACCCCAAACTACTTACTTTTTTTTTGTACACTATATGCAAATAAAGTCACATATTCTGTTTAAGACAAGGTAAATAACAGGACCCAAAAGTGCAACGGGCAGTAGTGGTTTTTAATTCAAAATGCTTTGGAGCTGCTGCTGAAATCTTCATCTTGAAACTGAAGTGCAATGTAAAGGATTCTGAAAACAGCCCAACTACATCTATTTCATGAAATACAAACCTACCACAGCTGCAAATTTATTTGAGGATGCTGATGGTGCTGCAGCTTTTCCATTGACAAGGAAAGACCACGTTACTTTGCTACAGAAATCTCTTCTCCCTACCTTTCTTTCCTTTTTCTGTTGTCCTCCAAATCACTGTCAGAATGTTATCAGTTATGGAGTAGGGTAGAGAGGTAGATCTGATAAGAAATGAAAAAGAATAAGCATGCACTCAACTCCTCAATTCTAGCTACTGTAAGCTAAATTGTTGCTTTATCTGTAATACAGTAAATATTTTAACAATTTTAAGAGCAACTTACTATTGATAAAATACTGATCACTATCAGGATATGGACTTTGCTTTTCTTCTTAGGCTATTTTCATTTGTTTCTTCTGCACCCTTTTAATGGAATATGTAGGTCTCTTGAAAGGTAAGGTTGAAAGTTGCAAGTCTGGCCTGCATTATGTAACAAATTATTTCAAAATGCAGCACTTTTATTTTCTTTATACTAGTAAAGAAAATCAGTATACTTCATTTAACCAAATTCATTCTCCATTGATGTTCAAGGAGTCAAAGAAATTAAGAAGTTTAACAGACTAACTTCATGGCACATCATAAGCTTGCTACTTTGGAGAACAAACAAATTATTTTTTTTATAACTTTACAACCCACTTTTTAATGCTTGCAGTTCCACCTGAGTGGCTTCCAAGCCAAGGATCCAGGTCTTGTCATTGAAAAGTCATGCACGATGGGGAGACAAAAAAAAAAAAGACAAAAACAACCCCCCCCTCCCTCCACTGAAGACATTCTCTGTTTAAACCATTCCTATGCCATGTTTTCATGTGAACTGCATCATATTGATTTTTCTCTACAATGTGATGTGAGTTTACTAAAGGATTATTGGGCTGCACACATGCTTTTCATAAACTCAGCATGCATGGCTGATTTTGCCTTAATAAATAATACATCCGTTAATTCCGTCTTTGTTTGTTTGTGTCTCCAGTGATGCAGAGGACCATAAACCTCTAAAAAAAGGAAGCCGGACACCTTCAGACAGAACTGTGAAAAAAGAAGACAGTGATGATAGTTTAGTTGACTATGGAGAAGGTGTAAATGGTCAGTTCAATGAGGATGGCTCCTTTATTGGACAATATAGTGGGAAAAAAGAGAAAGAACCTGCAGAAGGAAATGAAAGCTCTGAGGCTCCTTCTCCTGTAAATGCCATGAATTCATTTGTGTAACCACAGAACTCGATCCCCTTGTATGTTCAGTTTGTTTAAAGCACTTGCACATCTTCCTTCTCATACTATGAACACGCAGGTAATGGAGCTCCTCACCACCAGGTGTTAATGCTATGAGAATATGCAGGTCGATACACAGCGTAATGACACGGGAAATGGTATGTTAGTATGAATCAAAATACAAAATTCAAATTTTGTTCAAAACTTGGGTATTTTTACTTTTTTTCAAAGGAACTGACACAAACAATAATATCAACTTGTAATTTTGTTTCTTGTTGAAAATACAGTATAATGCATGGGAAAAGAAAAGCTACACAATTCACAGGTAATCTTGTCTACACTATAAAAACATGGTTTGACAATTTGTTACGCAGTCCTCTGCTGAATCCCTGGATATGAATTTCATTCCCATTGTCAAAGTGTTATAGTAGTATTATATAGAACTTCAATGTCTTTGTGGACATTGTTGTGAAATTGGTGACTTAATGTCTAGCTATCATGTCTTTTTGCAAGACAGTTAGGAACAATATGTACAGTATATAATTGCTAAATGATTTAAGTATGACACTTGCATTTGCTGATGCTTAATGAGACCCTATTATCTGCTCTTTGCTCCTATTACTTTATAGCCTTTTTAATCTATCAAGTATTACAGCAGTACAGTGTTCTATTTTTACATCAAAACACGTTGAATTGATTTTAGGGCATAAAAGATACGCATTGCAATGCATTTTGGAATTTGTACAGTCACTGAAGGTAAAACTTCGAAAATGAGAGAAAATATTCCAGAAGACACAGGGCAGAGTACATTCAGTGCCTTTTTACAACATGCATTCCGTAATGCGCTGCACTATTCAATCAGTTGGTGCAGTAAACTGTGATTAGCAGACTACTGTCATTGCCAAATAAAAGAAAAATGTAAAAAAAAATAACGTGTTATGAAATTGTTGTGCTAAAAATGGAAAGTTTAAGATATTTTAAATTACACAAAGAAGAACATGTGTTTTTTTCCCCTTTAAAATAAAATAAATGCTTTCTACACAGCTACAGCACAACGTTTTCATGGCCTTAGAATATTTACAACAAAAACAAAAACAACCAAAAAAACCACCCCAGAACACAAACAGAGTTAAATTATTTACTAACACAGCAAGGTATAAGCTCTTGTAAAATAAATTGTTAAAAACCCAAGCCAGCTGACTGCACCGGCGAGAGCACATTTCCCTCTGTGTCCCAGCCTGAGCAGTGTAGCAGCTTTGCAATTATCTACACCCTGAAGCAGTGTGGGGGTTACCACTCGGAACCACGGGATTCAATCTGACAAGTGTGAATATGGTTTATTTGTAAAGGATTACCCTTATTGGTTAAAAAATTATTTTATCGCATACTATATCAATCAAATGTGTTTACCTCCAAATATAAATTTTTATAACAACCTATGGTTGAAGGAATGCTCAGTTTCATTTGCCAATAAATTGGTTTTTCATAACTTGCATCAAGTTTAATTTTAAGTAAGCTTTTTATATGTAGATATTTTGTTGAATTTGTAAATACACTTAAAGCGTAGATGCTATATGCTTCTAGGTGTTACAGACAAATAAACCAAGAAAGCTTATGTTGTACTGTGTAAGAAGTACTATAGCCAATGGTGTGCATGGTATTTTAAAGCATCTACTTTTTTTTTTTTTTTGCTGTGAAAACAGAATAGTGAACTGTTCTGCTCATTTACTGCAGATTCCTAATTGAAACACTCAGAGCTTTTGCCAGTGCATTACATTAGCCCATAAAACACCTCGCAGCTTTCATGTATATATTGTAGGTAAAGCACAACTGAAGTAGTCCCAAACGTAAGCCAGCTGTAATAAGCTTCTTTCACACCTTTGAGTTTTCCATTGATCAGTTTTCTTAATGGGAACCGAAATATGAAATTAGTTATATGAACATTAATTACAAAGCACAAAGACAACATTTCTTAACAGGATTTGCCAACGTTTTTGGTAAAAGAGAAATATAATTTTGCTCTTATTTAATTGTAGATGCTGAATTATCTGTGCATGTGGGGGTAAACATACAGGCTCACTTCTGTAATAGTGCAACAGATTTTGTATTAAAAATAAATGTGATTTTAAAATTTCACTGTTTGTTCTGTTTACACTAGCAGTAGAAATCACAGCGGATTCATCCTGTAGTTAAGAATTCAAAGTGGAAAAACAGCATGAAACAAGTCTGTCAGAGGTCGTTCCCGTGACGTTACAGAACTTCCTTTAATGCAACCAAATTATTTACAGAAAGTTGCATACCTCTATACAGTACCATTTGAAAAAATATAAATTTGTCTGACCATTTCCTGTTGAAATTTCCTGCTATTTACATTTTACTTCCATAGGTAATTTTGTTATTTATTTAGTCATATTTCTACAAAGAAAAAAAATTAAACAGTCATGTTCCATACCTGCAAGAGTGAATAAGAGAAAGTAAGAATGCTGATTTGAAATTAAGAGCCCTCAGATAGAATCCGAAAAAAGGATTTTGTGTCCTAAAGGAATTGTCAGACGTACAAATTTCTGGGCATCTGTTTTTAAACAGTATATGAAGTGAGGAATTTTTAAATATTTTATTTTACAGTGCACAAAATCCATTGCAATGCTCTTTTCATATCTTGTCTATTCTGTGTGTGAATGGAAACAGACTGGGCAGGAGGGCAGCTGTTCTGCATAGAAGACTGCTGGAGAGCCATGGATTCCAAGAGATACAGGTGCTTCAGGAGATGAATCCAAAAGTTGATGATGCTTGAAGGAGGAATCTTATCACTGAATCAGAAGCCATTCTGTCAGCCCTTCTATATGTAATTGGAAACTCCTGGATATTCCAGCTCCTGTCATCTGCACAGTCTCAGATCTGACACTTCTGTCTTCAGATACTGGGCTGCCTGGGTTTTTTGTACAGGTATCTGTTGATTTTTCCAGCAATGTGCATTGACTGGGAAATATGAAATACAACTGTTTATGTTTCAATTAAAGAATAATTCCTGAAAAGAAGGGTCTGAGTTCCCTAGGCTTAGCTGGGAAAAAAAGATTTCATATGGTAACAATTTTTGGAGACACAAGTTATTTGTGCATGTTCCCCAAAGTGTACTACTACATATAGTTCCTACATTTTCCTTTTAGTGATACACATTTGCTTTTGGTTTTATTCTCACTGAAGTGATTGTATGAATCCAGAGGGAATTAAAGAGGATATCCCAATGGTAATTTTTCTTGTAATCTATTCTTGCATTGTTCCTAGGAAAATACAATTTCCTCGTGTAGCTGAGGCAAGTGGCAAAATATTTGGGACCCCAAATTGTCTTTGTATGTTGTCTGGCCCATTTTAAAACAGAACCTATAGAAATAGGTTAGTATTATATATTATTATAAAGAAATATTGTCTACAGTATGGAAGAGTTTTCTTCTCTGAAAGAAGAAATGGGGAGAAAAGCAGAAAGAGGATGAGATTCAAATAATTTCTGAAAAGCAATTTTCCTTTGCTGTGTTTCTGTCCCACTCCCTCTCTCAGTCTTCCCCCTTCTACCTTAGGAAAGAATTTTTCACAGAGTTGGCAGAAGCAGCAACTGGTTCCATGGGAAGATGGAAATAACTACTGGAATGTGCTACTTGTAGGAATCTACCACCAAATGATGCCCTTGGGCTGGAAATAAATCCAACTGGCCATCATGTTTTAGTCTCTGAAGGGATCTCTGGCTCTTTGTACACAAGAAGTGGAAACTTTAGACCAAACTGTCAAGATAAATACACATCAGCAGAACTTTGACAGACAGTAGATGTGATCCATTGTGACTCTAAGCAAGGAGGAAAATGGTGGTCCTTGTGATCTTATGAATTTTGGCAGCAAAAATATACACAAAGTTCCTGTGCTAACATGAAGATGAGCTGATGATAAATTCAGATCACGTTTAATATCTGAAGGATGGATCCTTTATTTGGAGTTGGAGAAGTTTGCCCAACTGTGAGTGTGGCAGCACTGGCTTTGTCTCCCCAGGGAAGCCCTGTGGGATAAAATTGAAGCCATCTGACAAGTAATGGGTTTGCATATGTTTAGGTTGGAGAGGGGCAGGGCAAGAGACAGCTCCCGTCATTGGGACCTGGCCAGCCTTTTGACCTGTTTTCCCTTGCCCTGAGGTGCTCGAGTAAAATACAGAAGTTCAGAATGTAGTATGGTTTCCCAGTCAGCTGAAAAACCTCATGGTATTGTGTCAAAAATCTAAACCACTGTTGTAAATTTGATTTAATTCTGCCTGGCTATCACATTTTGGATATAAGTGATAAGGAGGAAAAATACCTGGTCCCAAGCCTGCCATGCTGTACTAATATGCATGCCCAGGGTTTCAGTCATGAGCCTTCAAACAAGGAAAATTCAGTCAGTCTAATTCTGATGCTGAACTTCTTAAACATTTCCAGGTCTCATGCTGCATTAAGAAATGAACTGCATTTACCTTCAGTTATAAACTGTACTTGATATGTATCTTCCAGAGGTGCTGCATTTCACAGTCAGAAGTCCTCCAAACAGGTATGGTTTGACCTTAAAACCCAGCATCTTTCCTGACAGAGGATAGCAGCCCACTCCATACCTTGTGTTTGCAAAGATCTAAGGGACTTCAGGACTTCATAGAATTAAGGGGACAAATTAAGTTTTCTAAATGTCAGTGTTCAGGACATATTCCAAGTAGATGGTCTGCAATATATGTGCTGTAGTGAGAGAGAGCTTACAGATGTGCTGGTGTGAAAAGTTTGCCTCTCTGGCATGTTAAGAAGAGAAAGTGAAAAACTGTTGAGACAGAGAAAATACAAGAACAAAGGTATAACATTTGAGATTTCTTGGAAAGAGTGAGACACAGCCAGTAAGGTAGCTGGCCTGAAGGAAGAAAAGAGAAAAGCAACCATTTTACCCACATAATATGGGCAGCAGGAGCCCTTGCTAGTCTGGAGCAGCACAGCTCACTGGGTGCAGACCACACTATCTGTTGTTCACAAACAGTTTATAATAGATAAACAGCACATCATTCTCCTTCCAGAGAATTTTTTTCTATTTATCCAGGTATTGGTTCAAGAAACTTAGAAAGACTTACCAATCTTAGAAACATCTGTCAAACCTCATTGGAAATTGCCAGGAAGTTCTCAGGTTTGGGGTAGGGGAAGTACTTTGGCAGCTGGACAAACTAACACGCCAAGCAGTTGCTTTAGTTTCCTTACTTTTTGAAACAAACTAAAACCAACTCCTCAAAAGCACCTGCTTTCTGCAAGTATAGGGCAAGGCCAGATGAAGAGACCCTTTTCCCTTTGTTTGGGAGTTTGACTAATGGTGTTCCAGCAATATTATGTTTTTCCAAGCTGTTGAGATAAAGAAGATACAAGGGAGCCATACAAACTGTTTAGCAGGTGAAGAACCTACACAATGAGGACTCCAAACGTGGAATACCAAAATCAATGTTTCTGAAGAGCTTAAGGCATAAAACTGAGGAGAGGAAAAATGAAAAGGCAGATAATTGCAGCAGTTTCTGGACAAGTCAGAAGACAGATGAATGTAAAAAAAAAGGTGACATGGACAAGAATAGTTTTATTTCTAGAAAGGAGAGAGCAAATGTCCTTTGCTAGACCATGTGATGGCCTGTAGACATAAACACCACATGAGGAACTACAATAAAATTGGTTACACTGCCTACAGGGGAGTAGTATAGCTATTTTCTAATAAGCTAACCACAATTTTTAGGTATTACATAGCTTGAATAATTAGCCAACAAGAACTTTTATTTAGCTGAGATTATTTTTCCTTCCTGTCCTTTTCCCAACAGATGCTATAATGAGAATAAAGCCTCTGCTGTTCTATTATAATTAGTCAATGACCATAAACTTTATCAAAAGGGAAGCTCATATATATTTTTATAAAACAAGCTGATTTATCTTTTTAAAGTGAGAGGCAGACAAGACTTTAATCACTAGTGTTTAAAAATAACAACTGGCCACTAGAGGGAAGCCACAGTTGTTTGTTACCAGGAGCCTGGGGAAAACTGCTGCCCAAAAGCAGGGCATCTAAATTCACATCCCATGTGAATGCATATAAATGTATGTGTGTGTGTATACATGTATGTGTATATTTGCACATAACCACTATACTATAGTGGTTAGTAAGAAAATGTTCATAATGATTTACTTGTTTTGCATAACATAATAATGATGTTTGTGCATGAAATAATGACCTTATTCTAATTCACCCATCATGATCGTAAATTGCAGGGATGTTTTGGGCAGAATTGCTGTTTGAAAAGTAAATTGGTAAGAACTGTGGGACAGAGATGCTTGGTCTGAAATTCAGCAGCTAGCCCTATCCCAAATGTGCATGGAAACAGCACTTTTTGAAGGCAGAATCAGAAGCCAGATGAATGCCTTGCTAGGCTGTCAGTTCCCAGATATGTGTCTGTAGGTACATGTGCTTGGAAGCTGTACAATAATAATGGTTTAAAAAATGGTGTTGACCTGGTTGGTGTGTAGCCAATTAGCTCAGCTTTTGCAATTCATGTGAAGCCTCCACTGCCAGAATGGGTTCAGAAAAGGGAGATGTGCTGCCAGTTGCTGCTGAACCTGCAGGGTTCAGAGGGGACAGATTCCCACGAGCAGCCCAGGAGTCCAGCCTGGCTGGGTAATTTGTAGGGCAGTGGTTCATCTCACTGAAGTACTGCACTTGATCTGTTTTTGAATTTGTCAGGATTGCCCTTAATCTCTGTGTCAAAGAAGAAAGGCTTAAGGTCTTGACGCATGAGGAGGGGAACATCCCGTCAGGCAGCAGATTGCACTCCGGAGGGCGGGTGCTGGTTTTGGAGCGGGGCTCAGAGCCAGCTCCGCGCCCCCAGCTTGCACACTCGTTAGTTTGCTCCTGTTAAAACGTGTCCAGGACAGTGACCACCATTAAGTGTTTTGATCTGGATGGGTAACACACGGCACGCTTCCAGTGTCACAGCCCCAGGAGCCCTGCTGCTCTGAAATGAGATCAAGAAAAGCTGAATTGATCTGTGTTGTCAGACAGCATCATCTTCAGAGGGACCCTGCCTGGGGCAACCATCTCAGCACGTCAGGGTCCATTCATGTGAGGAGGGCATAGGCTCTGCCCTTCGGGATTGGCAGCACATCATCCCTGTGGTGGCAGTGAGGTTGGAAGGGGGAGGCACCTGCAGGGTGTGCATGGCTTTGTAGCAGGAGACTTGTTGCACAGATACAATTGAGTAAAATAAGAGAGCCTGAGGTGTTAAGAAAATGACATAAGCTTTCAAAACACTACTATAGAAAAATCATCATGTATCAGCATCATACAAAATGCACAGGTACATGCTATTTTAGAGATGGGAATAGAGCCACAGGTTAATGACTAACAACAAAGAAAATGTGACCATTTTTTAATTTTTGCTGATGGTGAGAGCAGAGATACTGAAAAGTGGAATCTGGGACAGATGTTTCAGGTGGAGCAGGCAGTCTCCACCCCGCTAGAGCCACTGAAGCTGCATTCATTTACACCAGCTGAGACTTCTGCTTGTGGCGTTTTAGGCAGGTCTTCGAGCAGAGGTTTGCATAATGAATATTTTTTAGTGGATAACTGTCTGATAGAGTGTCAGGGTTTCTCCACTAATAACAGCAGCCTCAGCCTCCAGCGAGGACATCACAGCCACAGCCAGTTCACGTGCTGGAGACAGTCACATGTCGGAACCTTGATCCTTCTTTTCTAAATCATGTATGACTGCCACTGAAAAACATTCTACTACAAATATTAAAAAAGCAAAACACGTTACTTATGTATCTAATCTTGGTGAGATTATTGCTCACCAGTTGTCCACTTAGAATTTGGAATAATAAAAATAATGTAACAGGCCCATTGCAGAGGCATAGTCTGTATTTTTAAGAGGCTCACTCTCAGAGTGTACATTTTAATTCTACACACAAAAGCTTGGATAGAATCACTAAAACATCCTTCGTTGTCTGTCAGGCTTTTTTTTTTTTTTAATACATCTAGTAGGATAGGTTTCAAGAGTGATTTACATCCATTTGTCATTGGATGATGAGTTTTTCAGTAAAATGTTCAGAGAAAAATTGCTACATACTGTAAGACTATGCCTGTCAAAAATCAGATGTGACTACCAGTACAGCCTAGTCCTGCTTTTAGCAATAGTCTTTCCTGTAACTTAGATTTTTAGTGTCAAATAA